TTTATATTGTGAGAATCACAAGACCCAGACCTACATTTTGATGCATAGTATGTCTGTGAAGTATTAAAAATGAAGGCACAGTCGCAGTTTAGAAATTGCCCTTCAAATTTGATCTGGCTAGAGTGGAGTTTCAATGAATGTCAATGGACGGTGTGAGTTGCAAACAAATGGTCATATTGTGAAAACTATCAGGACTATGGCTTAGCCGTGGACATTTTTATTGGCAGCAGGGATAGCTGAACGTTTTGATATAAGATTTGTGTAGCTGGGCTTGAAAATAAGGGAGTGGTGGCAGTTTAGAAATCACGTCCTGATTTTTCAGCTTTTGCCAGCTCCAACTCTAGTTTTGAACATTTTGCCATTCATTCCTATGGGACCAATTTCGCCACAAGAACGACGATATTCCGTGAACCATTCGGCAAAACGTTCCACAAAGTAATAGCAATCCAATCGGGAACAATCCGCACGTTTCGGTATATTTCTGTCTATGTAGTGTAAAAACTGTGGGAGGAGTTAGGGTGATAAATTTGGCTATAATAAGAATAATAACTAGAAAAGCTACAATTTCTGGGGAAATTGTGTGAAGTGTTCTTGCCTCCACCAGTGGTCTACAACTGGAGTGGGCGGAGTAACTTATCATTTATATACCACATTTAATTGCAACGTTGTTGCACAGTTACATTAAACCATACATTTACAAAAACATTAGCAGGTGTTCAAAAGGCCCTGTCTATGACATCACTTGCTGCTGCAGCCTGGCACAGGTCAGAGTATTTTGGCGGTTGCCATCTTCAAACGGTCGTATTTTAAAAACTATAAATCCTACAGCGAAGAGCTTTATATTGTGAGAATCACAAGACCCAGACCTACATTTTGATGCATAGTATGTCTCTGAAGTATTAAAAATGAAGGCACAGTTGCAGTTTAGAAATTGCACTTCAAATTTGAGCTTTGTAGAGTGAAGTTTCAATGAATGTCAATGGACGGCGTTAGTTGCAAACAAATGATCATATTGTGAAAGCTATCAGGACTATGGCTTAGCCGTTGACATGTTTAGTGGCAATAGATTCATATTGTGTTCATACAGTGCAGCCCTTGCCCTTGCCAAACAGTCCTATTTTTCCTCTCTCATTAGTTCATGTTCCCGCAACCCCAGGCGTCTCTTTGACACCTTTAATTCTCTTCTTCGCCCCGCTGTGGCCACCCCCCAAACCAACCTTACTGCTGGTAACTTTGCATGTTACTTCACTGACAAAATTGAACAGCTAAGGAAAGAATTCTCCCCTCCTTGCCTTTCTGTTTCTCAATCACACATAGATCATGCCTTTTCTACCCTTCAGACATTCTCCCCAGCCACTGACCAAGAGGTGGCTGCTCTTCTTTGCTCCTCTTGCCCCACCACTTGCCCGCTCGATCCTGTCCCATCTCAGCTTATCAGATCTCTCTCCACTTGTCTCGTGCCTTCTCTAACACACATCTTCAACTGCTCACTCTCTTCTGGCATCGTCCCTGCTGACCTTAAATATGCCACTGTAGTACCTATACTAAAAAAACCATCCCTCGACCCGTCCACCCCCTCTAACTACCGTCCCATATCCCTGCTCCCTTTTTCCTCAAAGCTTCTGGAAAGACTTGTCTTTACCCGTGTGTCTCATTTCCTCAATTCCAACTCTCTCCTTGACCCCTTTCAATCTGGCTTCCGCCCTCTCCACTCTACAGAGACTGCCCTTATCAAAGTTACTAACGACCTAATCGCAGCTAAATCCAAAGGCCACTACTCCATACTAATTCGTCTTGACCTCTCAGCGGCCTTTGACACCGTTGATCATGCTCTCCTTCTTCAAACTCTGCAATCGCTTGGTCTCTGTGACTCTGTCCTCTCATGGTTTTCCTCTTATCTCTCCCAACGCTCATTCAGTGTCTCTTTTTCTAATGATACCTCCTCCCCTCATCCTGTCTCGGTTGGAGTCCCCCAAGGCTCCGTCCTTGGACCCCTTCTATTTAGGAGTTTAGGAGTTGGGCAACTATAGGCCAGTAAGCCTTACTTCAGTAGTGGGGAAAGTGATGGAAACCATGTTAAAGGATAGGATTGTTGAACATCTAAAAACACATGGATTTCAAGATCAGAGACAACATGGGTTTCCTTCAGGGAGATCATGCCAAACTAATCTTATTGATTTTTTTGATTGGGTAACTAAAATTATAGATCAGGGTGGTGCAGTAGACATTGCTTACCTAGATTTCAGTAAGGCTTTTGACACTGTTGCACATAGAAGGCTTATCAATAAACTGCAGTCTTTAAGTTTGGATTCCAATATTGTTGAATAGGTAAGGCAGTGGCTGAGTGACAGGCAACAGAGGGTTGTAGTTAATGGAATATATTTGAAGCTTGGACTTGTCACCAGTGGGGTACCTCAGGGATCTGTACTTGGACCCATTCTCTTTAATATTTTTATTAGTGATATTGCAGAAGGTCTTGATGGTAAGGTATGTCTTTTTGCTGATGATACTAAGATATGTAACAGGGTTGATGTTCCAGGAGGGATAAGCCAAATGACAAATGATTTAGGTAAACTAGAAAAATGGTCAGAATTGTGGCAACTGACATTTAATGTGGATAAGTGCAAGATAATGCATCTTGGACGTAAAAACCCAAGGGCAGAGTACAGAATATTTGATAGAGTCCTAACCTCAACATATGAGGAAAGGGATTTAGGGGTGATTATTTCTGATGACTTAAAGGTAGGCAGACAATGTAATAGAGCAGCAGGAAATGCTAGCAGAATGCTTGGTTGTATAGGGAGAGGTATTAGCAGTAGAAAGAGGGAAGTGCTCATGCCATTGTACAGAACACTGGTGAGACCTCACTTGGAGTATTGTACACAGTACTGGAGACCGTATCTTCAGAAGGATATTGATACCTTAGAGAGGGTTCAGAGAAGGGCTACTAAACTGGTTCATGGATTGCGGGATAAAACTTACCAGGAAAGGTTAAAGGAGCTTAACATGTATAGCTTGGAGGAAAGACAAGACGGGGGGATATGATAGAAACATTTAAATATATAAAGGGAATCAACACAAAAAAGGATGAGACTATATTTAAAAGAAGAAAAACTACCACAATAAGAGGACATAGTCTTAAATTAGAGGGACAAAGGTTTAAAAATAATATCAGGAAGTATTACTTTACTGAGAGGGTAGTGGATGCATGGAATAGCCTTCCAGCTGAAGTGGTAGAGGTTAACACAGTAAAGGAGTTTAAGCATGCATGGGATAGGCATAAGACTATCCTAACTATAAGATAAGGCTAGGGACTAATGAAAGTATTTAGAAAATTGGGCAGACTAGATGGGCCGAATGGTTCTTATCTGCCATCACATTCTATGTTTCTATATTCATTTTGCAGCAACATTAGTAATGGCCTGTAATTGGAAATCACCCTTTATACACTGAGAGATTCAGTGGAGAAATTTGAGTTATGGTGGTACCCTTGAAATAAATATTTGGACCATTTAAAGTCGACCATTTATTAAATGCTTCAATGCTGACTTATTAACTACCATCTTAACTTTTTAAACACCAACAATTAATCTTACTTATTCTCTGTATGGCTAACAATTTACCGTATATACTCGAGTATAAGTCGAGTTTTTCAGCACATTTTTTGTGCTGAAAAACCCCCACTCGACTTATACTCGAGTTAATGTCTGTATTATGGCAACTTACATCGCCATAATACAGACCAGGACCGTCAGGCTCATTACAAGCCCGGCGGTCCTGTTGTTGGCTGGCAGAGATCTGTAACTTACCCTTCCTGCAGCTCCTGTCAGCTCCCTTCTCCTCCGTTCCGGTCAGCTCCCTTCTCTTTCCTCCGTTCCCATCAGCTCCCCTGTAAATCTCGCAAGAGCCGTGGGGTCAGAGCGTTCCCACGAGTTACCGTGGCAACGCTCCGAGCGGCACTCAGACTGCGAGACTTACAGGGGAAGAGAAGGGAGCTGGCAGGAGCTGCAGGAAAGGTCTGCCAGCCCCCCTCCTACACAGCCCATCCACTGGACCACCAGGGAATGAGAGCCCCCCTCCCTGGCCATGTATCAAGCAAGGAGGGGGATGAAAATAAATAAATAAAAATTTAAATAATAAAATAAAAAATATTAAAATAATATTAATTTAAAAATAATAAAAATGCCCACCCCCCACCAAGGCTCTGCATCACATACACACACTGCATTCATACACACACACTGCATTCATATACACATACAAACACACTGCATTATATATACACACACACTGTAAATAAATATTCATTATTAATATAATTTTTTGGGGATCTAATTTTATTTAGAAATTTACCAGTAGTACCACCCTAGTCTTATACTCGAGTCAATACGTTTTCCCAGTTTTGTGGGGTAAAATTAGGGGTCTCGACTTATAGTCGGGCCGACTTATACTCAAGTATACAGGGTAATATTGAAATATGAGATCCCTCTCTATATCATTATAGTACATCATGATATACTTCTGGAATGAAACGACACCGACACCTATTCAGGAAGTTACTTTCCCAAAATAACCCGTGCACAAGTGATCTCACTGAGGAACCACGTTGTCATGTCCCCAGCTCAATAGCATGTATATCATTATAGTACGGAACTTTGGTTTGAATGGAACCTGAATATATGGTGTAACTCTTTTTTCCTACATTGATTGATGTATACCTTTCAAAACTACATACCTTATGCCTGTTTTGTACCTATTCGTTTTGAAAACTAAAATAAAGAATTAAAATATATATATGAATATATATATACATATTTTTTATTTTTCCTTAATTTGCGTTGTGTTAAACGTACTTAAGGAATATCCTTTAAAAACAACATATAGTATGTATGGATTGGATGCACTTAGAGGGAAAGCATTAAATTATGGAGGAACAAACAAACAATGAAAGTGCCAAAACTGCCTTGGTCACAAATTAACTGAATCTCGGAAAACACTTGGGCACGAATGGGTTAAGAAACATGTTTTTAGGGATCAGATTTTCAATGTACAATGTATTAGCCATGGCCATTGTTCCCTGCAAAAGGGTCACTGTGGAGCAACAATAAAGGGCTAGATGGTCTCCTGCTGTGATATTTGTACATAACAAGGAACTGAACAGCTTCAAACAGGCTTGGAAGATAGAAACTTGCCCCATCCTCCATTGGTTTCTTATAGCGGCCCGTAAATTGGTTTTACATATTAGTAAACAAGTCTGAATACCTAACAGAGAGATATTAGGTGCATGAATCCATGTTCCCAGTTTAAACATAAAAAAAAAAATCCCACTCTTGGTGTCTGAGCTCCGTGCAGCATCGTGAAACTCACCTACTTTATGGACTCTAAAACTCCTGACTTTTAAGCGTGACAACACCGTAAGACCCTAGCCCTTCATGAGAGCAGCATTGCCCGCTTGTATAGCAGCGGAAGATCAAGCAACATATTTACGGCCTTCCCGGCAGCGGAGGCATTGAGAAACGGCTGATCTCTCGGTCTCCAACCTACCTGGAATCAGAATCATGGCGGTTGAGCCCCAATATTCCAACTCAGTGCCGGTGAGGGTTATCCCGGCACACATCTACTTTGGGACCTGCTGAAGCACGAGTTGGAAGCACGAACACAAGGTGCACAGACCCACCTAAGATGGCGGCCGTCTCGCGCCCATCAGGCCCACTCTCTCACAGCATGTCGGAGCTGGATTGGATCTTCAAGGCTTTCTGGGCCAAGTTGGCCAGCAGACTGCACAGTACCAAGCAAGAGGGGACACCCGCTGACACACCCCAGCGACCACGAGACAAAGGTACAGCATGGGAGGTCGAGCCGGCAAAGCATGCAGTGAGCCTGATACTAAAACAAACCTCCGAAGCGACACGCTACCCGACCTCACCGGGTCACAAAGCAAAACAGCGCTCGAGGCACAAAGCATGTCTCTAGGACTCTCCATGTGCAGATAGCTCAGCTGGGGAAGCCCTGTGTGAAGAGCCGAGATGACCCTCGGGCGCACGGTCTGGAAGTACAAAGATCTCAGCCTACTCAGTGGGACCCCGCTGAACCAGCGAAGGGTGTGGGCTGACTGCATGGACTCTCTTTAGGACACTGGAAGGATACAATCACCCTACCGCATGAAGACCCTAATGGCCTCCCTCTGTTGAAAAGCATACTTTATAATAGTTTTACACAGCACCTACTATCGATGATTGTGTAGCTTCATAGAATGCCATGAAGGTGTTTTTGCAGCAAATTAAATTCATATAGCCAGCAGCAATTGTATACGTGTAGCCAGTGTACCTTTCTCTTTGTCTCATAATTTTCTACAGCAAGCATTCAAATAGCCTGACAACAACTAATCTCACACTGACACATCTGATTACCTAAGAATCTACCTGTTTATTCTCCTTTTTCAACACTCATGTCTCACCAGCTTGTTTTAAACTTCATTATCATATACCCACTCACATGTCTAGGAAACTCACTTCGACCACATCTTATGTTTGCTACATACCCTAGACATGTTTCATCACCCTGTGACCTAGCTACGTAATTTAAAAAATGTGTGCAATAACCTTCAATGCCTTACACTTGTTTATGCATTTATTGTACCAAGTTTGTACCTGCTGTTGGGGCACGGCAAGAGCCCATGTTAACTGTTTGCACCACAAAAATAAAGAATTAAAAAAAAAAAATCCCACTCTTGTTATCAGAGATATTAATTGTAAAAAAACAACAAATAAACAAAACTATAGTTTGCCATAGAAAGTCCCTCAAAATATTTATAGTACTGCAGAATATTTTTCAGTAATCTGAATAAAATAAGAAACTGTATCATACATTTATTTTAATAAAGCAGTATTTGGAAGAAAAGGTCTTCTTTAAACCAAATTATGAATTTAAGGAATATTCCAACCTACAGCACAAAGTAGTGATTATGTGCTGAAGGGTGAAGATGCTCCCCCTCCACAGCCCCCACATTCATTGGCTGAGACACTATTGCCTCTACAGATACACATAATAAAGCTGTGTTTGTATAATTTGAAGTATGGTTGTTATTAGTTAGTGTGGCTTGTGGATAAGGTAATTGTCCCATAAATCTCTGCTGGACAAGATTTTATGGAATAACTTTAGATTCCATGTACCAGAACAGTTGCCAAAGTGTAGTGTTGGAAAGGCTGGTGGGGGAGATCAAAGATTGCCTTCACTGGTGCATTGCACCCACTGTAGGAGTAATGGGGGAACCCAAAAAGATTCTGACCTGCACCGCCCCAGCCAGGTGCAGACCTAATGTTTTGCGCCCTTAAACTACAAGTAGTTCAGAGTTTTCCTGTAGACTACGGTCACGTATTTATCCGCTTATAAAAATGTGGTTAATGGCATTTACTGTCCACACAGAAAAAGTTGTGCCGAGCAGCAACCAAATCCACAGAAGGGTTAATGCTGAGCAGCAATTATGCAAATAGGAACCTGGTAACTGCCTTTGGGGTCAAAGGCCGGTTACAGCCTATCAGATCTAGAGGAGGGGTATTTAGGCCCAGTTCTCATTCTGCTCAGTGCCCTGTCGTGGTTTCCCTTGTGGTTGTCCGAGAGCGCGTTATTGATTCTGGTTATTTGACTTTGGCATTGTTTTTGACTTCCCTGTTTTCTGGCATCCCCGACTCCTGTCTTCTCCTTATCGTTGTGTCTCTTTCTGTATCCCTTGACCTCGGCTATTCCTGACTATTCTTTGGTACGTTAGTCTGGCCATTCTAAGGTCCGGTATACGTTACCTATCACTCCTCTGTGTTACACAATTCTACGTGCTGGATCATTCTGTAATCCTGACATTACGACATGGCCATAGATCCTGTAGAATTGTGTAAGCACATAGCTGCTTGTGAACGGAAACTGGAGGATAATGATCACCGCATGGATCAATTTGCCCAGGCCTTCAGTACGCTTCTTACCTGAACAGCGCATCTGCAACCTGCGGCCTCACCTCCACCTTGTGTACCTCCAGCTATAGTACACAAGACACCTACTATCTCCCTATCTCCTCCCCTGCATTTTGATGGTAATATTCAAGAATGCCGGGGATTTATTAACCAAATGGAGTATCATTTTGAGGCCTCACCGGGATCTTTTCCCACAGACAGAGCTAAAATTTGTTACCTAATGAATCAGTTAAAAGCTTTAGCTTGGGCCAATCCATTATGGGAGAGTAATAGGAGTGTGGCACACAATTACCAGGAGTTCCTTACGGAATTCAAACTTACGTTTGAACCTTTAGGCAGAGAGGATGATGCCTGTACTGCCCTGATGCACATCAGACAAGGGAACCGGTCTATCTCGGAATATGCCATAGAATTTTGTACCTTAGCTTCCAAGGTAGACTGGACTAATAGTGGGTTAATCTCTGCTTTTAAAAAGGGATTATCTGAAACTATGCTAGATGAGATTGCCGCCAAATACTTACCCAAAAAACTTAATGAATTTATCACTTTTGTCATGCAGATTGATAATAGATTAAGAACCAGAGAAGCTACTAGAAACAAGACCAGATGCATGAGTATGCATTTAGCACCCCGTTTCTCCAGACCTATTGACCCAAACCAATGCAGTTGGGGGTCACTAGACTGTCGGAAGCAAAAAGATAATATAGGAGAAAAGAAGGCCTATGTCTATACTGCGGTAGGAAAGGGTTAATATCATGAAGGTGTTTCACGACAATGTGTTTGCTGGTCACCCAGGTATTAATAAATCCTCTTCTGCTATCATGAGGTCATTCTGGTGGGATTCCCTCAGGAAGGATGTTAAGGAATATGTGCAGGCTTGTTCTGCTTGTGCGGTTTCCAAAGTGCCTCATAAACTCCCTTGTGGCTTGTTACAACGTCTTCCTATTCCTAAGGTCCCATGGTCCCACTTGTCCATGGACTTCATTGTTGAACTTCCTAGTTCTAACGGTTATACCACCATTCTCATGGTTGTGGACCGTTTTTCTAAACTGGCTAATTTTATTCCTCTCAAGAAATTGCCGTTATCTCAAGACTTGGTACTAATCTTTATACGAGAAATTGTCCGTCTGCATGGCATTCCTCACAATATAGTATCTGATAGAGGTTCTCAGTTTGTATTTTGGTTTTGGAGGACCTTCAATAAACAATTAGGGACTGAATTGTCTTTTTCATCCTCTTACCACACCCAGACCAATGGTACAGCTGAGAGGGCTAACCAGTCCTTGGAATTATATATTTGCATTGTTTCGTTAATAGCGCTCAAGACAACTGGTCCGAATTACTACCATGGGCCGAGTTTGCTAGGAACAATGCTGACCATGACTCCTCTGGGCATAGTCAATTTTTTTGTTAATAATGGCTGGCATCCTACTGTCCTACCGGCTGTTTTTTCTGATATGGCTATTCCTGCTTTGGATGACCATCTGGCTTCCATCCGTGATACCTGCGTTAAAGTTCAATCTGCTCTGGGTACTGCTGCTGACCTTTCAAGCATTATGCTGATACACGTCGAGGTGCCAACCCTGTTTACCAAGTGGGTGAGAGGGTTTGATTATCTTCTCGTAAAATCAGGCTCAAAGTCACAAAGCTTGTTTTAAACTTCATTATCATATACCCACTCACATGTCTAGGAAACTCACTTCTTAGGTTTGCTACATACCCTAGACATGTTTCATCACCCTGTGACCTAGCTACGTAATTTAAAAAAATGTGTGCAATAACCTTCAATGCCTTACACTTGTTTATGCATTTATTGTACCAAGCTTGTACCCGCTGTTGGGGCACGGCAAGAGCCCATGTTAACTGTTTGCACCACAAAAATAAAGAATTAAAAAAAAAAAAATCCCACTCTTGTTATCAGAGATATTAATTGTAAAAAAACAACAAATAAACAAAACTATAGTTTGCCATAGAAAATCCCTCATAATATTTATAGTACTGCAGAATATTTTTCAGTAATCTGAATAAAATAAGAAACTGTATCATACATTCATTTCCATAAAGCAGTATTTGGAAGAAAAGGTCTTCTTTAAACCAAATTATGAATTTAAGGAATATTCCAACCTACAGCACAAAGTAGTGATTATGTGCTGAAGGGTGAAGATGCTCCCCCCCAAAGAACCTAGGAGCATGAAATTTGCTCCCAGGTTCCTTGGATCTTTTCGTGTCCTTCGTAGGATCAATCCTGTTGCGTACTCTCTGGCCCTTCCGGCCTCCTTGAAAATTCCTAATACCTTTCATGTGTCCTTGCTCAAACCTCTTGTTTGCAATAAATATACTGTCTCAAGTGTCCCTCCTCCTCCCTTAGTTGTTTCTGGACAGGAAGAGTATGGGGTCTCCTCCATAATTGATTCCAGGTTTTCTTGGGGCACTTTACAGTACTTGGTGGATTGGAAAGGTTATGGACCAGCCGATCGTTCTTGGGTTCTGGCATCTGATATACATGCTGGCCGCAAGATTCGCTATTTTCACGCCAAATTTCCTCTCAAGCCTGGTCCTGCCCGCCCGGTAGGCGTTCTTCAGGTGTGGGGTAATGTCACGTATTCATCCGCTTATAAAAATGTGGTTAATTGCATTTACTGTCAGGAAAAGTTGTGCCGAGCAGCAACCAAATCCAGAGAAGGGTTAATGCTGAGCAGCAATTATGCAAATAGGAACCTGGTAACTGACTTTGGGGTCAAAGGCCGGTTACAGCCTATCGGATCTAGAGGAGGGGTATTTAGGCCCAGTTCTCATCCTTCTCAGTGCCCTGTCGTGGTTTCCCTTGTGCTTGTCCGAGAGCGCGTTATTGATTCTGGTTATTTGACTTCCCTGTTTTCTGGCATCCCTGACTCCTGGCTTTTCCTTATCGTTGTGTCTCTTTCTGTATCCCTTGACCTTGGCTATTCCTGACTATTCTTTGGTACGTTAGTCTGGCCATTCTAAGGTCCGATATACGTTACTTATCAGTCCTCTGTGTTACACAATTCTACGTGCTGATCATACTGTAATCCTGACAAAAGTGTCCAGTTTAATTTAGTGTGTCCAGTTTCATTTAATGAACCTATTGAGAAAGCATCTAGTAGTGATTCAAAATGTGTCCAGTTCAATTTAGTGAACCTACCCAGAAAGTGTCCAATAGTGATGTGAAATGTGTCCAGTTCCATTTAATGAACTTGTTGAGAAAGCATCTAGTAGTGATGTGAAATGCGTCCAGTTTCTATTTAATGAATCTGTTGAGAAAGTGTCCAGTAGTGATGTGAAATGCGTCCAGTTTCTATTTAATGAACTTGTGAGAAAGCGTCCAGTAGTGATGTAAAATGCATCCAGTTCCATTTAATAAACTCGTTGAGAAAGCATCCAGTAGTGATGTGAAATGCGTCCAGTTTCTATTTAATTAATCTGTTGAGAAAGTGTCCAGTAGTGATGTGAAATGTGTCCAGTTCTATTTAATGAACCTGTTGAGAAAGTGTTCAGGAGTGGTGCAAAATGCATCCAGTTCTATTTAATGAACTGGTTGACAAAGGGTCCAGTAGTGATGTGAAATGCGTCCAGTTCCATTTAATGAACCTGCTGAGAAAGCATCCAGTAGTGATTCAAAATGCGTCCAGTTCTATTTAATGAACCTACTGAGAAAGGGTCCAGTAGTGATGTGAAACGCGTCCAGTTCCATTTACTGAACCTGCTGAGAAAGGGTCCAGTAGTGATGTGAAATGCGTCCAGTTCCATTTAATGAACCTGCTGAGAAAGGGTCCAGTAGAGATGTGAAATGCGTCCAGTTCTATTTAATGAACCTGCTGAGAAAGAGTCCAGTAGTGATGTGAAATGCGTCCAGTTCCATTTAATGAACCTGTTGAGAAAGTGTTCAGTAGTGATGTGAAATGCGTCCAGTTCCATTTAAGGAACCTGTTGACAAAGGGTCCAGTAGTGATGTGAAATGCGTCCAGTTTCTATTTAACATGTTGAGAAAGCATCTAGTAGTGATTCAAAATGCGTCCAGTTATACGACATGGAAAAAAAAAAAGAGGCATCACTTTACGGGAAATGTAATTTCTCAAAGCCAACGATGTACTACTACCCCTATATTGTGAACCGTTTATACGTTTCCCTCTCTTTATTTTGTATCCCATTTCGTATGATTCAATAAAAGAAAGATCAAAATGTGTCCAGTTCCATTTAATTAGCCTGCTGAGAAAGGGTCCAGTAGTGATGTGAAATGCGTCCAGTTCTATTTAATGAACCTACTGAGAAAGGGTCCAGTAGTGATGTGAAATGCGTCCAGTTCCATTTAATGAACCTGCTGAGAAAGCATCCAGTAGTGATGGGAAATGCGTCCAGTTCTATTTAATGAACCTACTGAGAAAGGGTCCAGTAGTGATGAAAAAAACATCCAGTTCTATTTAATGAACTGGTTGACAAAGGGTCCAGTAGTGATGTGAAATGCATCCAGTTCCATTTAATGAACCTGTTGACAAAGAGTCCAGTAGTGATGTGAAATGCGTCCAGTTCTATTTAATGAACGGGTTGACAAAGGGTCCAGTAGTGATGTGAAATGCATCCAGTTCAATTTAATGAACCTGTTGACAAAGAGTCCAGTAGTGATGTGAAATGCGTCCAGTTCTATTTAATGAACTGGTTGACAAAGGGTCCAGTAGTGATGTGAAATGCATCCAGTTCCATTTAATGAACCTGTTGACAAAGGGTCCAGTAGTGATGTGAAATGCATCCAGTTCCATTTAATGAACCTGCTGAGAAAGCATCCAGTAGTGATTCAAAATGCTTCCAGTTCCATTTAATAAACCTCTTGACAAAGAGTCCAGTAGTGATGTGAAATGCGTCCAGTTTCTATTTAAAATGTTGAGAAAGCATCTAGTAGTGATTCAAAATGCATCCAGTTATACGACATGAGAAAAAAAAAAAAAAAAGGCATCACTTTACAGGAAATGTAATTTCTCGAAGCCAACGATGTACTACCCCTATATTGTGAACCGTTTATACGTTTCCCTCTCTTTATTTTGTATCCCATTTCGTATGATTCAATAAAAGAAAGATCAAAATGCGTCCAGTTCCATTTAATGAACCTGTTGAGAAAGTGTTCAGTAGTGATGTGAAATGCGTCCAGTTCTATTTAATGAACCTAATGAGAAAGGGTCCAGTAGTGATGTGAAATGCGTCCAGTTCTATTTAATGAACCTACTGAGAGGGTCCAGTAGTGATGTGAAATGCGTCCAGTTCTATTTAATGAACCTACTGAGAGGGTCCAGTAGTGATTCAAAATGCGTCCAGTTCTATTTAATGAACCTACTGAGAAAGGGTCCAGTAGTGATGTGAAATGCGTCCAGTTCTATTTAATGAACCTACTGAGAAAGGGTCCAGTAGTGATGTGAAATGCGTCCAGTTCTATTTAATGAACCTACTGAGAAAGCATCCAGTAGTGATGGGAAATGCGTCCAGTTCTATTTAATGAACCTACTGAGAAAGGGTCCAGTAGTGATGTGAAATGCGTCCAGTTCTATTTAATGAACCTACTGAGAAAGGGTCCAGTAGGGATTCAAAATGCGTCCAGTTCTATTTAATGAACTGGTTGACAAAGGGTCCAGTAGTGATGTGAAATGCGTCCAGTTCCATTTAATGAACCGGCTGAGAAAGTGTTTTAGTAGTGATGCAAAAAGCATCCAGTTCCATTTAATGAACTGGTTGAGAAAGCATCTAGTAGTGATTCAAAATGCGTCCAGTTCCATTTAATTAACCTGCTGAGAAAGCATCCAGTAGTGATGCAAAAAGCATCCAGTTCCATTTAATGAACCTGTTGACAAAGGGTCCAGTAGTGATGTGAAATGCATCCAGTTCTATTTAATGAACTGGTTGACAAAGGGTCCAGTAGTGATGTGAAATGCATCCAGTTCCATTTAATGAACCTGCTGAGAAAGCATCCAGTAGTGATTCAAAATGCTTCCAGTTCCATTTAATAAACCTGTTGACAAAGAGTCCAGTAGTGATGTGAAATGCGTCCAGTTTCTATTTAAAATGTTGAGAAAGCATCTAGTAGTGATTCAAAATGCATCCAGTTATACGACATGAGAAAAAAAAAAAAAAAAAGGCATCACTTTACAGGAAATGTAATTTCTCAAAGCCAACGACGTACTACTACCCCTATATTGTGAACCGTTTATTCGTTTCCCTCTCTTTATTTTGTATCCCATTTCGTATGATTCAATAAAAGAAAGATCAAAATGCGTCCAGTTCCATTTAATGAACCTGTTGAGAAAGGGTCCAGTAGTGATGTGAAATGCGTCCAGTTCTATTTAATGAACCTACTGAGAAAGGGTCCAGTAGTGATGTGAAATGCGTCCAGTTCTATTTAATGAACCTACTGAGAAAGGGTCCAGTAGTGATGTGAAATGCGTCCAGTTCTATTTAATGAACCTACTGAGAAAGGGTCCAGTAGTGATGTGAAATGCGTCCAGTTCCATTTAATGAACCTGCTGAGAAAGCATCCAGTAGTGATGGGAAATGCGTCCAGTTCTATTTAATGAACCTACTGAGAAAGGGTCCAGTAGTGATGTGAAATGCGTCCAGTTCTATTTAATGAACCTACTGAGAAAGGGTCCAGTAGTGATTCAAAATGCGTCCAGTTCTATTTAATGAACCGGCTGAGAAAGTGTTTTAGTAGTGATGCAAAAAGCATCCAGTTCCATTTAATGAACTGGTTGAGAAAGCATCTAGTAGTGATTCAAAATGCGTCCAGTTCCATTTAATTAACCTGCTGAGAAAGCATCCAGTAGTGATGCAAAAAGCATCCAGTTCCATTTAATGAACCTGTTGACAAAGGGTCCAGTAGTGATGTGAAATGCATCCAGTTCTATTTAATGAACTGGTTGACAAAGGGTCCAGTAGTGATGTGAAATGCATCCAGTTCCATTTAATGAACCTGCTGAGAAAGCATCCAGTAGTGATTCAAAATGCTTCCAGTTCCATTTAATAAACCTGTTGACAAAGAGTCCAGTAGTGATGTGAAATGCGTCCAGTTTCTATTTAAAATGTTGAGAAAGCATCTAGTAGTGATTCAAAATGCATCCAGTTATACGACATGAGAAAAAAAAAAAAAAAGGCATCACTTTACAGGAAATGTAATTTCTCAAAGCCAACGATGTACTACTACCCCTATATTGTGAACCGTTTATACGTTTCCCTCTCTTTATTTTGTATCCCATTTCGTATGATTCAATAAAAGAAAGATCAAAATGCGTCCAGTTCCATTTAATGAACCTGTTGAGAAAGGGTCCAGTAGTGATTCAAAATGCTTCCAGTTCCATTTAATAAACCTGTTGACAAAGAGTCCAGTAGTGATGTGAAATGCGTCCAGTTTCTATTTAAAATGTTGAGAAAGCATCTAGTAGTGATTCAAAATGCATCCAGTTATACGACATGAGAAAAAAAAAAAAAAAAAGGCATCACTTTACAGGAAATGTAATTTCTCAAAGCCAACGACGTACTACTACCCCTATATTGTGAACCGTTTATTCGTTTCCCTCTCTTTATTTTGTATCCCATTTCGTATGATTCAATAAAAGAAAGATCAAAATGCGTCCAGTTCCATTTAATGAACCTGTTGAGAAAGGGTCCAGTAGTGATGTGAAATGCGTCCAGTTCTATTTAATGAACCTACTGAGAAAGGGTCCAGTAGTGATGTGAAATGCGTCCAGTTCTATTTAATGAACCTACTGAGAAAGGGTCCAGTAGTGATGTGAAATGCGTCCAGTTCTATTTAATGAACCTACTGAGAAAGGGTCCAGTAGTGATGTGAAATGCGTCCAGTTCCATTTAATGAACCTGCTGAGAAAGCATCCAGTAGTGATGGGAAATGCGTCCAGTTCTATTTAATGAACCTACTGAGAAAGGGTCCAGTAGTGATGTGAAATGCGTCCAGTTCTATTTAATGAACCTACTGAGAAAGGGTCCAGTAGTGATTCAAAATGCGTCCAGTTCTATTTAATGAACCGGCTGAGAAAGTGTTTTAGTAGTGATGCAAAAAGCATCCAGTTCCATTTAATGAACTGGTTGAGAAAGCATCTAGTAGTGATTCAAAATGCGTCCAGTTCCATTTAATTAACCTGCTGAGAAAGCATCCAGTAGTGATGCAAAAAGCATCCAGTTCCATTTAATGAACCTGTTGACAAAGGGTCCAGTAGTGATGTGAAATGCATCCAGTTCTATTTAATGAACTGGTTGACAAAGGGTCCAGTAGTGATGTGAAATGCATCCAGTTCCATTTAATGAACCTGCTGAGAAAGCATCCAGTAGTGATTCAAAATGCTTCCAGTTCCATTTAATAAACCTGTTGACAAAGAGTCCAGTAGTGATGTGAAATGCGTCCAGTTTCTATTTAAAATGTTGAGAAAGCATCTAGTAGTGATTCAAAATGCATCCAGTTATACGACATGAGAAAAAAAAAAAAAAAAGGCATCACTTTACAGGAAATGTAATTTCTCAAAGCCAACGATGTACTACTACCCCTATATTGTGAACCGTTTATTCGTTTCCCTCTCTTTATTTTGTATCCCATTTCGTATGATTCAATAAAAGAAAGATCAAAATGCGTCCAGTTCCATTTAATGAACCTGTTGAGAAAGGGTCCAGTAGTGATGTGAAATGCGTTGAGTTCTATTTAATGAACCTACTGAGAAAGGGTCCAGTAGTGATGTGAAATGCGTTGAGTTCTATTTAATGAACCTACTGAGAAAGCATCTAGTATTCAAAATGCGTCCAGTTCACCGGTTTCTTTTTTTCTGTCCCCCCTTTTCTTGATGCCTGGTGCAGGGATTCGTTTGATATTATTTTGTTACAGCTACTTACCTCATGGCCATGCATTATTCTAATTACCTGAATAAATCTGCACAACAAGGAAATTTGTTTAACAGACAATGTCTTTTCACCAGGTTTCTCTGAGTGCACTTGGATTTTTAAGTGAAATATAATAACTCAGTGTAAGCTATTGAAGCTGTGACTCCGTTCGAGCGGTCCCCATATCTGCGAGTTGTGTTAGTCAATAGCCCGGTCTATGGCTAGTGACACTTGGTGACCGACCAGCTCGTCACAAACACCAAGTTTGCGTCTCCTGAATTCTGAATATTTGCCTATGATTTATTGACCAATCCCGCTGGCTGCATCCCGCCGGTAAATTAATTATTAATGAGGCCGGAGCGGAAGTAGAAAATGCCGGAAGTGACGCGTTGTCCTATGTTACCGGTGGGAGACTCCTGGCATTGGAGCGGCGGTTGTTGACGTCACGTCCGGCGGGAAGGGGAGGAGGGAAAAGAGCAGCCTCCAACTCCTCCTCACTAGTAAGGGAAGCTGGCGGGCTGAGCGGCCGTATACACAGTGTTATTCCCGCGGTGAGTGGAGGGGGGGGTGAGTGCGTATGAGCTGGACTTTCTATCGCTCGTCTCGAGGCCGGTCTCTCAGTGTCCTCCTGGGCAGCCAATCAGATCGCAGCTCGCGATACCCCGCTAAGGTGTGGGAGCCGGCCAGCAAGTAGCAGCGCCCGCCTCCCTCGGATGTGTACGTTGTTGGGGGCTCTCATACGGAAAGCCGGAGCGGCCAATAGGGAGCGCGGACGAGAAACCGGGGGCACACGAGGAGCTGGTCTGGCAAGAGCGGGAATACGAGCTAGCCAATCAGCGCTCGGAGAGCTGGCACGGACCGGGGCGGCTGGACAATGACTCTCACTAGGTGACTCAGCCAGTCAGCACGGCCGGGGGCTCCCATCACCGACCTCCACATCCCTTCCACGGACTGCCCTCCACAGCCAGGCCCGATACCCGCTCCGTGCCCGGGGGCCACAGCCAGGGGGGCTACTACACCGCAATACAGAACCAAGGAAGGGGCTCGGAGCCGGACACCGGCATCCCTTCACTCACACAGCACTGGGAGCCACAGATCCGGGTCAGCCGGACACCGACCTCCATGAATGGAAATCGGAGGAGCCCCAGGTAAACACGGCGGGGATATAGGCAGCATTATTATTATTATTACCCCCCAATGTATCCAGTGTGGGACTCCAGCTACTCCATGTGTCTGTGTGATATTGCTAGCTGTTATATGGCCAGCCTGGCTGGGACCAAATCTTATAACTCTGATTTTAAAGCATGATGAAATTCCCAATTACTAACTTAATTATGCTCCCCTTTGCTCTGGTTTTTGATTTAGCTAATTAACCCACTCTTTCAGGAATATATATATATATATATACTTAGTTTGTACTTCAGAGTTCCGGGAGGAAAGTATCTGCTCATGGCTCAAAGAATAGACTGGAAGAGATACATTTCGGTTACCATGGTTTCCAGACTCTCCCCAAACCAGAACTCGTCTACATCAAGGCCTAAACTTGATTTCCAAACCTTGAATTTGACCCCTTTAAGATAATTTCAATCCCTCATCTAAACTATAAACGCCTAACCTTAGTTCAAACGTAACTTGAACTTTAAAGTGCTAACATATTGTGTTCAATGTGTGCACAGTGCTAAGGTATCATTAACAATTAATCAAAATCGCTTCAGTAAAACTAGGATTGATTGCATGCAAACACTGCTTTACTAGCATCTTTTGTTTGCTCATGTCACTAAACCAGCAGTTTTTGTTAGATTTGTCAACACTTATTTTATTTATATATATGTATATATAATATTTATAATATTTTCGTTATTACTGTAGAGTGTTACATTTTATGTAAGTAGTTTAGAGGCTGCTTAGGTCAATTAAGGTGCAGGCATTTACTAATGAAATTAGACTTTAAAATAATCCTCAATATTTGAGATTATATATATATATATATATATATATATATATATATATATATTTATTAGTTTTTAAGTGAATTCAGGAGCACTCTGTGAGCTTTCAATTGTGTACAGTATTCAGTTACATCAATGTTTTGACTCTCCTGGACGTTTCGACCCTACAGCTTCTTTTTCAAGTATTCAGTCTCTGGCTCCCTATTGTTTGGCGAATCAAAAGCTTTTAGGTACAAGAAAAAACAAAATAGCTTCTAATATTTTTATTTTGTTTTGTGTCCATCTTATCCATGTATAAGTAAATGTCTATGATGGCAGCTGCTAAAGAATTTAAATGAAATGGCTGTGTTGGCTATAGTTGGTAAGACTAGCAACCAATTTGCATGGATATTTGGGGCCACTGGACAGGAAGGCTCAACTAATTTGCTAAAACTAGTCACCAAATTTATTAATTCAGAAAAAAATAAACTGCGTCAAATAATAAATACTAGATAATCATATATAGATATATGTACAAAATTATATATAAAAATATTGAGAATATTAAAGAGTACCAGCAAAAAAGTGTAAAAAATAAACTTTTGAAGAAAGTGCTTTTTTGGAGTTCTGTTTGTTATCCTTCTTAGTGTTCAAGTAGACAAAACTTTAGTGCAGATGAGTGTTGTTGGTGTCCCATATTATTAGGGCAGCAAAGTAACAGACCCTATTCTGCTGCCTTTGGAGTTGGCACTGTATATCTCCTTCTTTTTCTTGTACCATTTATCAATTATTTGAGGTGGTGGGTATGGTGACTTTTGGTGTCACACATTATTGTGACTAGTTTGGTCATTCAAAATAAAAGTAAAGTTTTAGTAACATTTTTATTAGGTTGTGGAATTATTTGTAACAATTATCGTGTGTGTGTTCATTTTCTGTAATTGTTTTAAAATGTAGCTGCTTATAAAGGCTCTTTGACTGGCAAGAAGTAAATGCCCTGTTATACCAAGCCCTAAGTGTACAAGTGGTTTATTATTATTAGCACATATATAGCAATATCCAATTTATAGAATGGGAATATTTAATAACAAGTAATTAATATGCAATATTTAAAAAGAGCTGAAAAAGGTTGTGTATAAAAGCAGTGAGCTGGACTATGGAAGCAAGAGTACTAAGAAAAGCAATTGTAGTGAAGTAAATGTCACCCAGGAGGATAGTAGGCCTTCTTACTGAGGTGTGTTTTCAGTGACTTCTTAAAGCACAGGAGGCTTAGGCAGACTCTGGCACCAGGGTGGGAAATCCATAGGAATGTACCAGCCCATGAAAAATCCTGCAGATAAGAGTTAGCCGTACAGGAACTTGGCATAGTACAGGAAGACCTTATTTCCATTGGTATTGTGTACATTTATGTACTTTAAATGATTATGCCAATCACCATGACCACTTCTGTTTTCAAGATGTGGTCACATACAGAGTAGTCTGCACTTTTATGCCAGTCTAGTTACAACATCTTTGTATTAAAATAAAAATATTGATTTTAAATAAATTTCACCCTGGTGTTAGTTGTCTGAATTGGGTCCTGAAGGGTACTGGATGCTAATGTAATGAAAGAAAAATGAGTGAGGTGCAGATGTAATGGTCCGTAAAGAAGATGAGCTTGGCTGCAACATTAAAGGACCCCTATAGTGCCAGGAAAACATACTTGTTTTCCTGGCACTATAGTGCCCTGAGGGTGCCCCCACCCTCAGGGTCCCCCTCCCGCCGGGCTCTGGGGAGAGTAAGGGGTTAAACTTACCTCTTCAGCGCCAGGCGGGGAGCTCTCCTCCTCCTCTACGGCTGAATGCGCGTGCGCGGCAGTAGCCGCGCGCTCATTTAGCCAGTCCATAGGAAAGCATTCTGAATGCTTTCCTATGGACGCTGGCGTCTTCTCACTGTGAAAATCACAGTGAGAAGCGCATCTAGCGGCTGTCAATGAGACAGCCACTAGAGGCTGGATTAACCCATAAATACACATAGCAGTTTCTCTGAAACTGCTATGTTTATAGAAAAAAGGGTTAACCCTAGCTGGACCAGGCACCCAGACCACTTCATTAAGCTGAAGTGGTCTGGGTGCCTATAGTGGTCCTTTAATTAGACTGAAGTGGGGCAGTACTGGTATTTGGAAGGCATGAACAAGCGCATTATTTAATTCTTCTGTTAAAAGATGCAGAAATTTACTATATGAAGGGGGACATTAATGAGTTCAGTTTTAGAAAGCATCCAGTTAGGAATGGGAGAGAGGCTGTTTGTGGCGCTTTACAGGAGGGCAGACTAGAGGTGAGGAAAGGTAAAGGTCCAAGTACAGAGTCTTGGAGAACACCACTCAAGATGGGCATTGATTAGGAGGTGGCTCCAGTGAAGACACTAAATGACCGCTCAGAAAGATAGGATGAAAACCAGAATAGTAGTGTCAAAATCCAAGTTTGTGGAGGATTTGAAGAAGAGTGGCCAACTGATAAACAGCAGAGAGTTGAAGGGATAACTACGAGCAAGTTGTAGTTTTAGTAGAAAGGTGCAAGTGGAGGCCAGATTAAAGAGGGTAAAGGAGGCAGTTGGTATTGCGAAAGTGAGTTAGACTGGTAAAAACAATCTTCTCAAAAAGCTTAGAAGTGAAGGGGGAGTAGTGTTAAGACATGGTGGTAGTTGAAGCATGGGGTCAAGAGGATGGAAGTTAAGGTTCTCTAGTTCAGATAAGGGGGTGTCTGTTAAAATGGTAGAAGGAACAGAATGGAAGTAGAGTATTGGAGAGGAAGAAGAAAGTGTAAATTGCAAGTCTAGTTTGGATAATCTTGTCAGTTAATTGACATGCAAAATTGCGAGGTGTGAGGTTTGTTAATGGTGCGTTTGCAGTGAGGTGGATAAGGTACTTAAAGGTATGAAAGGGGGTGTTCTGGATAATGAGAATAGATGCAGATGACAAGTAAAATGTACTTGCTTTGCAATGGGTAGAATGAAGTCAGGTGTGCAGCAACACCTTCTTTAAAAGTGACTATTACTAAGTGTCAGACCATATACTAACTAGAATGCATGCATATTCTGCTGTATGAACTATTGTGTACCAACCAAGTGCAAGATTTGCCATGTAACCAACATTTATCTGCTATGGGGATCTATTGGGCTGATGCTGATTTATTTTTATTTTTTTTATTTTTTTAGGAAAAAAGAGAAATAGAGCTTTGTCATTGTTTAAATTGTTATTCCATGAAGCATGACCACTTCAGTGTTTTGAAGTAGTCCTGGTGCTTGAAGTCTATATGTGTAAAGTTTCAGTATGAAGTTGTATTTTATGGTTTGAATAGGATCTTTTAGGTTGGATACTCATAATTTATAGTGTAAACTATATTGTAGATGAACAAGGTTATGTAGCACTATGTGCTATATTTGTTTTATCAAGCGCCATTTGAAAACTGCACGGCTGTGATATGGGGGGTATCGGGGGGGGGAAGGACAGTGCAATATATACAGACCAATACACTATGTAAAGAGGGCCCTGCCAGTGTAAGGAGATCTAGCCCTTGAAGATCTTTTATACAGAATACTTTGCTAGATAGCCTGTGAGCTGAAAATCTAAAGGTTAAATTGGGGAGATGAGACAAGAGGTAGAAACAGGAATTTGGAGGTTAGGGCAGAGAGATCTCAAAGTATAACTGTAGTAACTGGTAACAAGTAAAGAGAATGAGGAGGTGATCGACTGTGATGTCAAACAGCTGGAAGAGCATGCTATAAAATTGTCTGACGCCCGGATTAGTTTCAGGCGATTAGTATTTCTATTCTTTTAGACCTGCCATTGGGGGAATTTGGTACAGTGGAATGACTGTCCTCGATAGTCTAGACCAGTGATGACTAACCTTGACACTACATTTCCCATGATGCTCCACTAGCTTTTACACTCTAAAAGCAAGCTGAACATCATTGGAAATGTAGTCCAGAAACAATTTATGGTGTCAAGGTTAGCAATCACTGGTCTAGACCCTGCTGGGGCCCCAGTATACCACCAAGTATTCTTGTGATGCATAGAGCTTATGGCAACTGGGATACAGTGTGACCTCATACTGCTGGACCATGAAGGCTGTTGATAATGTGATGAAATGGGGCAGTGTTGTGTGTGTGTTAGTTTGTAAGTATGGAGTGTGTATGTTTGTGGGTGATGCCGTGTGATTGTGTGTTGCAAATCCAATTATTTATGCTTAAATTTTTGAGTATTATACTTATGCACATGTATATTAATATACTTGTATTATATTAATTTTTACTTGTGTAAATTGTAGAGAATAGAAAATCATTTAAAGGGACACTGTAGTCAACAGACCAACTACAGTTTAATGTAGTTGTCCTGGGGAGTATAATTGTTCCCTTTAGGCTTTTTTTTCATGCAAACACTGCCCCCACCCCCACCCTCTGCCCCTGTACAGCACCCCTTGCACCACACACACACACATCATGTATTGGTTTGGGCACTCGGGCTCAAAAAGGTTCACCATCGCTGCTCTAGTGGCTGTCTGAGTGACTGTCACTAGAGGTATTACTAGGCAGCAATGTAAACACTTCCTTTCTGTCAGCGTTTACATTGAAAAGTGTGCAGGGATAGAATATAGACTTCAGAACAACTACATTAAGCTGTAGTGTTTCTGGTGACTGCAGTAATCCCTTTAAGAATTGTATTTTTTATGTTTAAAAAACTGGCTCCTAAATTCCAAGCAAACTTGTCAAGCCCTGGTATAAATAATGTATTTATAAAAAGCGTGTTCTCTCAGTAGATCATACATAATTGACAGTCTCCAGAAACAAGATAAATAACATTTCAAAGTTGTCTTGATTTTGTCAACATTATCAACATGTTGATCAAGAGAACTATTTTTTTTTTTAAATATTTTGGAAACTTTTTTTGATTGTCATCTCTTATTTGTTGAACTTGTGGGTATGCTGTGTACCAGTCAAAGAGACTTATCAGCTTCTCGACATACACCTAGTAAATAAAATGGTTGTGTTTTTTTTTTTCCCCTCTTTGGTCCCATTTTGGGGCCCCCATTTGCCATGTTTTGGAGGGGAAGAGAAATGGAAAGGGTACCAATCCTTTTGATTTATATTAGAGCCCTTCACCCAGCATATGATTTCAGAGAGCAATTTATTCATTGTCATTTGCATATACTAAGTTGCTGTTTCTTTTGGTAGTTTGTGCAGACATGGGGCCCCTTTCCCCTCCTCCCCTCAGGATTGCCTATGAATTCCAGGGAAATAACAAAGCTTTTTAGGGGATATTCAGGATTTCTTGCTTTCTTAATTTTCAATTTGGTTTAATTTTGTTTATTGCAAATTGGCATTTTGTTTGAATGTCTCCCTCTCCCTCGTAAAGAATCCTAATTTTTATTATCCCAAGAAATACTCACAAATGTAAATAAAAATTTTGTTTAAGGGAAAGCACACTTTTTAAAAAAAAATTTTTATGGTGAATTTTATTTTATTTTTTTAAATTCTTTATTTTTGTTGTGCATGGTATAACAATAGGCTTGTTCAGCCACAATAGCAGTTACAAGCAGTAATGTAACGAACAGTTGAAACATAACGTGAATTATGAGTATACAGCACATTTTTTGTTTTGCAAGAGAAAATCTAAACCGTGGGTGAGCGTTGCTTGAGATTTACAGAACGTTTGACTATGCCACAATGGCGGAGTTAGGAGCTGTAAACACAGCATTTGTACATTAGTGACATGGAGATAGCTGTACATTTCTAAAAGTTAAGTTGACGTTTGTATGCCAAGTTAAGCTTTTATGAGCTTTAGTCTTGTGTGTCAGGTAAGGTTAGAAGTACAGGCTTAAATACAGATTGACTTACTGACATGTTAGATAATAATAAAGTAACAAGCTTAACTAAATTAAATTAAGTGTAAAAGTAAAGTAATATTCCACCAGGCAAAGCAGGGCAGACTGTCATCGTCTGCATTAGGCATAAAAAAACTAACTGGCATTTCTTATAACGGTGATTATAACATGAATTACATTGCAGTATGTTTAATTATAGAATGCAGCCGCAGTAACAGCTTTTGAGGCTGTCGGTAGGTTCCGTGGTGTGTGCCTTAGGTGCCAGTCATCGTGGGATGTTGGGGTCGCCTTCGGCTGTGGTTGCATAGGAGATGTTAAAAGGCAGTTTATTCCCATGCTTGGGCATAGTCCCTATAAGAAGGTCCTCTGAGTCCCAAAGTCTTGCCAGAGGGCTCCGTGGTTGCGTATTGCCGGGTCTCCTGGTCGTCTGGTGGGTGTAAACGCGGTGCCACTTAAGCCGCTGTGTTCAGGTGCGGGCTGTGTTATATTGGGGTCCATGCTTGGGTATGCCTTCTCTGGGTGCACCCCCCGGTTGGTCTCTGGTCCCGGTGATAGGGAGCGCTGGTTAGGCGTATTGTGGCGTAGCAGTCTGCTTCCGTGCACCATAGGGGTTCTCCATGTTTAGGCAGGTGAAGTTGTTAAGACGCTGTCGGACATTTTAAGGAGGCCTCGTGGGAACCGTTTACCTTTGGCGGGGGGGGGCGGGGGGGGGAGAGAAGAGACCGGGAGGATGCCAGCTATATCATAGTATCCACATTGGAATGCGAGACAGCGGCCCTCCGCCGTGCTCTCCTCCTGGGTAGGCCTCTGGTCTCAAGCCCCAAAATGTATCTCCAGGATCTAGAGTCACCCGGTAACAGGTGCTCCAGCTACACCGGGACAATCCAGGACTCGGTTCCCCGAACCTCCAGACCTCTCATGCAGCATAAGGTGGGTATTTTCCCCAAAATTATCTTGATTCCGCAGGAGCTCCAGTGACCTGCAGCCTGTCGGCATGGCTGCCCCATGGTGATTTATTTTTAAGAGTCCGTGCAACATTTTATTTTATAGTCCAGGGTTCAGCAACCTATGGCACTTGAGGCACACCTCATACAATTACAAACAGACCACACACACTATCCCCACAAACCTTATACACAAATACACAACCCCTCAAGCAGCGCCACACACCACCAAACACGCAAAGTGACATATCATTCACAGGCAGCCCACATTCATAGGTATTATACAGTATATCATCACAAACCCTTGAACATGTACGATAGAACAGCCCACATAAGCACAAATTCAATGTTACAAAGCATCTGCAGCGCCCATAAATAACACAAGCACAATATGGGTAACATACACACCTCCATTTCAAACATTAGGTTTGGCACGCCAAGGAACTTAACAATCTTTTTTTGTCATCGTACTGCTAAAATGTTGCCTACCCTTGCTGTTGTATAGTCCATATCTATAGCCTTTTCTCCTCTGTTGGAAAGAACACTTCAAGATGCTGTGAGTGAATTAATACTTAATAAAAATAAAAAATATCCCTCAATTTTCACCTGTTCATTTTACTGCACTCCTTCTATATTGCTGTTTTGCTAAAAAGTGTTGGGTGCCATTCATTTTTTTTTTTGTGTGTGTCTCCTTCCTGCTTTCTTTAATTATATATCACTTACAATATGTTTTTTCTATTTGATAACCTGGATCTGTTAAATTGACCCGAATGAAATATTTGTCCTATCAAAAGCCCGTATTAAAGGGACACTTTAGGCACCCAGACCACTACAGCTAATTGAAGTAGTCTGGGTGCTGTGACTCGTTTGCACTTAGTGCTGCAATGTAAAACATTGTAGTTCCAGAGGACTGCAATGTTTATATTGCAGCTCTGTCTGCTCTCTGTGGCTGTCTACCAGACAGCCATTAGAGGGCTTCTGGATTCCAAACAGACTTTTGGTCCATTATCTGACGCTGGGCGTCCTCACGGACCTCCAGCGTTAGATTTTCCCAATAGGAAAGCATTGAATAATGCTTTCCTATGCAGAGGTCTAATGCGTGCGCGACCAGTGGCAGTTGACGTCAGCAGGGGAAGAGCCTGACCCAGCGCTGAGGGACATTGGCACTGGATTCAGGTAAGTGGCTGAAGGAGTTTTAACCCCTTTATCCCTGCGGGAGGAGGTCAACCCAGGAGCCTATAGTGCCAGAAAAACTGGTTTGTTTTCCTGGCACTATAGGATCCCTTTAAATTCATATTGGAAGGGGCAGAATTGGTAGAGAAATCTCACCCACCATTTCCTGTGGTTGATGCCTTTTTAATTGTTTTAAGTTTATATTTTATTTTCTTAATGGATTATATCCATACTATGTTTATTTGGAAAAAAAAATGGTCTGGCTGATGTTAGGTTACTTTGGCCTAAAATGTGCATTTCCTTTGTCAAGTCTCCACGGTTCCTGGTTCAGTGAATAAACTCAGTTGTTTTTATGGAGCTCAGTTGTGACAAGCATTGCCCTTGCCAAGCACAGGAGAACAGTTGGGGAGTAACATTCAATTTGAATTTCACATTGTAGAGCTCTGTGCCTGCTTGAATGAGGAGAGTAATAGTATAACAGTTACTACTGTGGCAAGTGCTAATTGCTCTCTTGGGATTGCACCCATAAATGTACATATCTCATACTATTTCACAGGTCTTCAAGGTGAAATTTGTGCAAGCTAGCAATGTCCAATTAAATTCAATTGAGAATTAAAACTAAGAACATCACAATAATGAGTTAAGTGCATGTTTTCAATGAACTAGGTGCTCTACTCTGGCAGATTTAGTCACCAGTTTCAAGGTATTCCTGTCACCACCCAGGATAGGTTTATGAGAAGGGTAGTTTATCCCTAGAGCAGCGTTTCCTGACTGATGTTCCAAGAACAAATCTGGTCTAACACCATGATTTGCCCATCGGGTGGCCCATGGGGTTGATATGTATTTGTTCTGCTGCAGTTTTCAACTTTCTAATGAACTGCACCAATGCATAGTATGGATTTTCTTTTTAAAGGATAAATTGAACCTTTTTGAAACCCTATATGAAATTAAATAAAATATTAAATATGGATGCAATATTTAAAAGTACAGATGCTTCTTAAAGGTACACCTAAAGTGCAACAAAAACATTATTTTGTAGTGGCTTTGATAAAAACCTTGTTCCTGCATTCTGACAAATGTAAACATTGATTTTAATTTCAAACATTTTAAAAAAAATATATATTTTTTTAATATACCTGCCTAAAACTTGTGCGCTGTGTGTGTGTGTGTGTGTGTGTATCACATTCACTGTCAATACAAACCTCTGTTAAATGTATACTCTGGGCACAATAACTTAATCTCAATGAATTTATGGTGCCAGCTCATTCTTACCTTTTTAAGGTGTTAAAATAGTTATGAACGGTTTAATACCGAACTTTCGAAAACTGCACCCGTTTGTTCTGCCCAACAGCTTCATCCATTGGTCCAAGGTTTCCTTATTAAATGCCCTAATGGTAGGTTAAAGGGACACTATAGTCACCAGAACAACTACAGCTTAATGTAGTTCTTCTGGTGAGTATAATTCCCTTCATGCTTTTTTCATGCATTGCCTCTAGGGACACCTCCAAGTGGCCACTCCTTAGATGGCCACTGGAGTTGCTTCCTGGGTCAGTGCTTCCGAAAAAGCAGCCCCTAACGTTAAGCGTCCCCACACTCTGCATGGAGATGCTGAATTTTCTTCATCGAGATGCATTGATTCAAAACGGCATTTGGAATCGTGATGATTTTTAGGCAATCCAATGCTTTTCCTATGGTGGACCGACGCAGCGCTGGAAATGAGGTGAGTTTAAAACTTTTTTTTTTTATAGTGGGGCTAGGAGGGGGCAAGCCACCTAAATGGTGGGTTAAACATTAAAGGTTCTGGAATCCATGTTTGTGTTCCTGACCCTATAGTGTTCCTTTAAAACGGTCAGCTGACACTAGCTAGTAGCTACCTAGTCATAAAAATAAGAGTTGGGGGAGGAGGGACATCTCTTTGCTCCGCTCACCTTTTCATAGACATCAGGTCTTCTATTTGTTTTTGATCCAATAAGATGTGTATTTAGCCTTTTCCTCATCTTTTTCTTATTGCTTTAGAAAACCCTGAAAATTTTAAGTTATAACTTGCTTGGACTCCTTTTTTTTTTTTTTTTTTGAGAGAGAGATTCAAGCAGAAAGAATTGACATTTTAAAGGTGTTGAATAGCAGTTGCAGGTTGTTGACTTACAAAGTTTATTCCTGTTGTGCTGCTGTAAAAGTGGTATCTGAATACAGTGCTTGGGATGCATGATACACAGAGCACTTGGTTCAGTCTGGTTCACCAGCTTCCTATTCTGTACAGAAGGCATTTGAGGCCAGGATCAGGGAAAGTTCAGTGTGCTTATGAAAAGGATCAGGGGAAATGTTGGGAGTGGGAGGAGGGGGTGAAATAGGAGATTTTCCTAGGGTTACTTATAGCATCTAGTGCCAAAACCCCCTTCAACCCCCTTCAACCAGAAAATGAGTTACCTCCACTAAGGAAAACACATCTGTTTGTTTGCATGTGGGAATCTTGTATGTCTTTTTAAAAAAATATATATATTTTTATGTATATTTATGTGTGTGTGACTGTTCATGCACACACATTACCTCTGCAAGCTAGACATGTTAAAAAATAACTTTCTTTTACATGTCTAGATTAGAGGTAATAATGTGTTGTGTATTTATATCTGTCCATCTATCTATATCTATATACATGTATTTAAAAATGTAAATACATTATTTTACAAGCTTTTTACCAGTTTCATTTTCAATATGTTAAACTTCCCCTGTGTTAAACAGTGGTGGCTCAAAGGCTGTTCTATTTTGCAAATGTGAAGTTTATTATAATAGCCAAGGTGGCCTTTTCTAAATGTCATCTTATTACATTGAACATTTTACACTTGTTAGTTTTCGTTTAAGTCTGAAAGACTTGTTACCGTAAAGGATGTCATGCCAGTGTGTAAGTTACAGGGTTTTTGTGCTTTGAAACCTAACCTAGAACATAATTTTAAATCATCTAGTCCCCTGTGGGTGTTTACAGTCAATGATCAATGTGTACTGCTATGTTTTAAAAGTAACAAGTGTTGTATGTTATGATCTGTGCACTCATATTTCTCAAACAAGTGGGTGGGGTGGGGGAAACCCCTTAAAAACGCTTTTAAAAGAGTGTTTAAAAAATAAATTAAAAAAAATTCCCTTCAATCATTGTGTTCTAAGACCTGGATCTCTACTATGTACACACAAACCTGGGGAATTAGTCTTCTGTGGGGCAGTCCCACAAAAGATATGTAGAGTCTCCTTGAATAAGATAAATTACATCACCTTTCCTGGAAAATAAAAATGAAATCATCCTTCTAGGAAAAAGAAAAAAAGTCTTGTGTAAAAGTCTTTTTTTTTTTTTTCTGAGTAGACATGATCTGTCCTTCCTTCACAATCCGAATGATCACCATTATGACACATCTTTTAATACTGCAGATTTGTGTAGTTTGCAGAATAAAACTGTTCCTTGTTTTTTTTTTTTAATTTTATTTTACAACTACGGAATAATGTATTCATTTAAGTTTAATGGAACGCTCCAAGCACCATAAATACAGAGTGCTATTGTGGTTATAGTGCCAGGAGTGTCTTGGCATCCCTAATTGTAAGTAGTGGCGCTTTTTACCTGGGTTATGATGGGTGTTGCTCCTATCTTACTCTTAGTTCAGTGAGAGCCTCTATCACCACCTCGGGAGCTCCCTTAGCTCTATTGATTTAAGCCCTGCAGTGTAAAGCTACTGCATTAGCTGAGTGTGTCAGCTGGTCACTCTCAGCCGAAGAGCCAAGCTTTGTACTGCTGGGTTTCTCTCCGATTCTCATTGAGCAGTAGTGGTGTCAGGGAGCGTCTTGTCCTATATAAGAAATCAAGCAGTTTAAAATGGCTTGGTGCGGAAAGGGGCACAATAGAGTACCCTTGCACCGTAACTACTACAGTTTGCAGTGTTTATGGTGCTTTTGTATACCTTAGTTGACCATTGAGCAAGTGGCGTGGCTTTAAAAAAAATAAAAATTAATAATAATTCTCACTTGGTTAATTTCCTCAAACAATGTATTTACCTAAGATACCAAATAAAGCTTGCAGTGACCATATAGTTTTGGTGCCTACATAAGAGTGGACCATAATGATGTCCCAAGGCATTTCATTATCTGCACCTGTGCTACGATTTAAAACAAAAAACCCCAAAAACAAACCTTACTTGAGTTAAAGGGACATGAGTCACCAGAACAACTTAAGCTTAATGTAGTTGTTCTGGTGTCTATAGCCTGTCCCAAAGAAAAGGCAGTGTTTTCATTGGTGCCCATCATGTTTGTGGGTTTTTTTTTTGGGTTTTTTTTAACACTATACACATTTGAGGTCATACAGGCACGTGGAGGCCACACACACTACTGAGCCTCATTTTGACTTGTTTTAAGGACATTACATCAAAGTTGGATCAGCCTGTAGTGTGTTTTTCCACTTTAATTTTGAGTGTGACTCCAAATCCAGACCTCCATGGGTTGAAAATTTAATTTCCATTTTTTTTAAAATTTTTGTGTGGTTTTGTTGTCAGCACATTCAACTATGTAAAGAACAAAGTATTTCAGAAGAATATTTAATTCATTCAGATCTAGGATGTTTTAATTTTTGTGTTCCCTCTATTTTTTTTTTTTTTTTTTAGCAATGTATATCTTAAGCAAAGGTTTTAAAATGTTTGAATGTGTATGCCATGGGGACAGGAGCAAAACTTACATGCACTTAATATTGTGTGTTGTCTCTCTTTTAGGACCCGTGGCGGCTCAGCCCTTTTTTGTGGTGCCAAGGCGGCCTGGCTATGGCACCATGGGGAAGCCTATCAAGCTGCTGGCCAATTGCTTTCAGGTGGAAATCCCAAAGATGGACGTCTTCCTCTATGAGGTGGATATTAAGCCAGATAAATGTCCTCGCCGAGTCAACAGGTAATAGTAGCTGACTTCTGTGGTACCAAATGAATGCCTATTGTTGAGTAATTTACAAACCACCATACAAAGGAATAGCATTTGAAAACTCATCACTGTCTTTCTCAAGGTTTGCCTTTTCAGATATACCAGTGGGGAAAGTGATTGTGAAAGGATAAAACCATGTTTCTAACTAGCTCGCACACACATAAATCATTTGGGGACACAAAAATAAATTGGACAGACACAGAAAGCACATTTTTCTCAGGTGTTTGCAGACAATATTACAATACAAAATATTAGGAAGTGGCAATAAGCTGTATCTTGGAAATTAGACAAATATTTAATTTTCAGTGTTGTATTGATGATGGGTGTAAAAATAACAATTTGTTGCTAATATGCTACTCTGGAGTATAACTAATAATTTCCTTTTCTCTAGGGAGGTTGTTGATTCCATGGTCCAGCATTTCAGAGTCTCCATATTTGGAGACCGCCGGCCAGTTTACGATGGCAAAAGGAGCCTTTACACCGCCAAATCTCTTCCTCTTGCAAATGCTGGGGTAAGCGTGTGAAGAGTTTAAGTTTGGCAGTTAAAGCTTCATTGCTACTACAGCCTGATGTAGTGATCCCTGGTTTTGGAGCTCTTTGACAAAAAGTGGGATTTTCTGCCACTCCACCTGGATAATGCATTATTAAACTTCAGTGATACGCTGCTAGTAATCATTACTTGCTCCATAATTGCAGAGTGAGTTAAATTGACTCTTTAATCTCCATAACCACTGCAGAATGTTGTGGTTAAAGTGCTATATCTATGCATATGTTGGTCCTATCCCTCACAGCTGATCATTGAAGTTCACGTATAGTTAAATAATATGTAAGGTCATTCTTGATCGTATAACCATTCACTCTGGGGAGAAGTGTCTGTACTTCTTTAGTGTCAATGCTAACTTATAGGGAAAGCAATACAAAGATGTATTGCTGTCACTATAGTTATGAAAATACTATGTAGGCTGCTGGCCCCTCTAAGCAATTTAAAAGGTGAGTTTACTCCCCTTTATTCCAGTGCTGTGCGAGTCCGATGTGTCTGGCCCCACGCCCTTGGCTGAGTTATCAAAATTGGGAGGCTATTGCGCATGCACTGCAAAATGCCACGCTGCACCAATCCGCATCTCCTCATAGATGCATCTAGTCAGTGCATGTCTGAGGAACATTCAGCGCCCCCATGCAGAGCTTGGTGACGCTGTACGTCAGTGCTCACTGCACACTGTGCTGCACTGACCCAGGAAGCACCTCTTGTGGCGGTCACTAGATGTGTTACTGGGCAGCAATGTTTCTTTGAAGAGGCAGTGTTTACTTTAAAATGTCTGCAGGGACAAACTATACACACCAGAGCAACTACATTAAAGGATCACTGTAGGGTCAGGAACACAAACATGTATTCCTGACCCTATAGTGTTAAAACCACAATCTAGCCCCTCATGCCTCCATAAATATAGCACAATCTTACTGTATTCAAGCCAGAAGCTGTAGATCTGCATGCTGTTTGCCCTTTAGAAAAACAAGCAGTCTGACATCATCTGAAGTGGAGGCCTGATCCAATCACAATGCTTCCCCATAGGATTGTCTGAGACTGACAAAGAGGCAGAGGCAGAGCCAGCATGATTCAAACACAGCCCTGGCCAATCAGCATCTCCTCATAGAGATGAATTGAATCAATTAATCTCTATGAGGAAAGTTCAATGTCTGCATGTTTGGATTCATTTTAGGAGATACTGAATGTTTGGATGCATTTTAGGCAGCCATGACCCTGGAAGGATCTCTAACAGCCATCTGAGGAGTGGCCAGTGAAGTTATCGCTAGGCTGTAATGTAAACACTGCATTTCGCTGAAAAGACAGTGTTTACAGCAAAAAGCCAGGTAATGATTCTACTCACCAGAACAAATACAATAAACTGTAGTTTTTCTGGTGACTATAGTGTCTCTTTAACTTATTGATTTTTCCCTTTTATTTAAACATTGTTTCTAATAGTAGATTAGTGCCAGGGGAATCATTTCCACCCCAATAAGTCTAATCAAACTAAGAATGTTATCCAAGTAAGACTTCAGTTTAGGGCACAGCGCATGGCACAGGGAACCCACCTGACCACACTCCCTCTAACACTTGTTGGTAGGTGACAATTGTAGCTTCTAAAGCCTGGAGGGAGTGTAATACCATCTGTATAGAATCTAGTAGTGTGATTCCATGTGTGACACACACTGTGTAATGCCTCTTAAAGCTGATGTTAAATCTAACCATTCATTCAGCTCGTATTCCTTATCTAATTCGCTTTCTGATTTAGTCATCGATTCAAACTTTTGTATAGGCATTCCAGCAAATAGACCATAGCATTTAAAAAAAATTGCCCTTTTCCAAGCAGGGTCCGAGAAATACTCTCAATGAGAGACATTTCTAGTTTATAAACACACTCTCGCCCTGTCTGGAAAGGCCACACCTATCAATCACAGAGTCAATCATTTTCTCATGCATTAATTCATCTGAACTGTCAAAATCATACTTGGTTTTATTTATATCTTGTTGGTATTTTATGATATGCTTTTTACTAGAGAAAAAAAAACATTATTTTTTTTTGCAGACATTTTTTGAGAATGTAATAAGCAAACGCCGAGTTTAATTTCCAAATAAAGTGTGCTGTCATGAATGCTTTGTACTTGAAAGATTTGAGCAAAATTTGAGAAAATCACCATTGATATCCATAACAGCCCCTTTCATTCTTACTACCTCCGTTCTTGCAGACACTTATGAAAATAGCTGCCGACATGTACATGCATTTTAAACCATAACCAAGCCAGTAATGTGGACAGGTCCATATAGATAACTTGTGAGAAAAAAATAAAGCAAAAACGCAACTAATGTTTAATCTAATATTCAAGAAGTTTGCTACTGGATGCAAATTGCGGGTAAGCTTGTCAAGCATTTAACTACAATATGTAAATTACAGGCCGATATGTGTAAAAAATGGAATTTGCTCACTATTTACTACAGAGTGTAAATAGGGCTGTCAGCTATGTTTCCAGTTCAGCTACTTTGGCCTTAACTGTGAAATTCACATTGAATTCCCACTTTAGTGAAATAACAAATGTATGTGTGCCTGAAATATTGAATGTGGTCTGCAGCATTAGCAAACTTTTTTTTTTTTTTTTTTGGCAGGTGGATCTAGACGTCACATTACCAGGAGAAGGAGGAAGAGATCGTCCTTTCAAAGTCACTATTAAATTTGTCTCCAGGGTAAGCTGGCATTTGCTGCATGACGTCTTAACTGGGCGATCCCTGCCTGAACCCCTGGAACTGGACAAGCCAATTAGCACTAACCCAGTCCATGCAGTTGATGTGGTGCTACGACATCTGCCCTCCATGAGGTAAGCATCATTTCTAGTTTGGAAGGTAGAAAAAATACAGTTGAAATGCAAACTTTAATACTGTTTATTGTACGATCTTGATTCTGATAGTTGCCATATATCAAGGTAATACTGATTTGTTGCAGTTTAGATACCCCCAGTTAAATAATAGTAGTACATTCGTTCATTGTTTGTTCAAGTTTAGAACAGTCCTAAATAAATGTAAAGGTTATTATTTAATCTGAATTAATTGCTTATTCCCCCTGTCATTCTTAGTGTCTTTTGTATAGAATTGACGTATTGTGTACTAAGCATATGTAACTAGGCTTCTAGACTGGGCTTAGGTAAACAGAATTAATTCATTCCAGCTACTAAAACACACTATCTGAAGACAATTTAAGGATCACAATTTTTTTTAATTTTATTTTTTAATTATTTGTGTGCAGTATGGATTGTTTAGAAGTGGAGTAAATAATTTATAAAACTTATAATAAAGATTTAACTATTATAAATAAATCTGTATAAACCGGGATTTGGATTGCTAAGAAGCTATCTCAGTAATTCATACGGACATGTAGCAATATTTAGGCTTCCTTCCAGGCCCTCATTGGCTGCTTACCTTTCATAATCAAAGGAGCACAGTGTTTTTTTTTTGTTTTTTTTTGCTGTGCATTGTATGCATATTTGTCGCACACATCTTTCTACCCCCTCCTTGTTTACCTGCGTCCTATTGTGTAAGGATATGATCATACCATGATAAGGCTAAGGTGGTATAGGTTTGTGACTTTCTTTTAAACAATGTATCTAAATTTGAATGACCTTGATTCTTTACAGTGACATAAGGACAGGTCAGATTTTCTAAAACTTATTGATAAGCAGGGCTCACACAATCAACAACTTCAGTGAAATTTTATATTGTATAATTAATGCAGTGCAATTCTAATCATTTGTGCTGTGAGAGGTAAAATAGAGAACATCTGAACATGTTTAGTAAAATGCAATATTCATAACTAATTGGACATTAATTTTATATTGCAATTGTTTAACTTAATTACATGTACCACTTGGGCTTCACCACAAAACATTACAATAAATACATCCTAAAATTAATTGCATAGCTCATGGTTAGGCAACCTTTCAGTAGTACTGTGCCAAAACAAGATCTTAAAGTCCCTTCTGCGTGCCTTTCTTAATTTTTTATTAAACCAGTGTGTTTATGTTGCAGTATTGTGCTTGTGTTATTTATAGGCGCTGCAGTTGCTTTTGTATTTGTGTGCATTTGAGCTGCTATATTGCATATGTTCATGAGTAGTATTGTGTATACCTATGAATGTGGGCTGTGTATGGGAGCTGCTAGTGTGTGTGTGTGTGTGTGTGTGTTTATCATGTCACTTTATGTTTGGGGTGTGTGTCTGCTTGTCGTATTACATGTGAGATACTGCATCATGGTTGGCTTCTATGGGGTCCATTGTGAAACGGGCCGGCTAGGTACAGGTCAGTGCTGATTCCCGTTCACAAGTGTTAGTGGAAGTGATCTTAGATCACTTCCTCCCAAGTGCTGCAATTAGGGATCGACCAATTATCGGTCTGGCTGATATTATCGGCCGATGTTCTGCATTTTCGGCAATATTGGTATCGACCAATGGAGATTTTTTATTTATTTATTTATTTTACTTGCTTAGAATCGCCTGTTGTTGAATTCTGTTTTGTATTCGATTGAATGTTATATGATTGCATGTTTATTGTGAATGTTTCTTCTTCTTTGGATCACAGTATGGCTAAAAATCTGGATTTTAAATATTTATTTGTACTTGTTCAGTTGTACAGCATCAGACTCTGTTACCTAGGAAGTCCATATGCAAGCACATTATTTGACATTCTTTCAGACTCATCTTTCATGTTCTTTTGTGACATAATGGCAAAGTTCCACCATGTAGTGATTACCAGACACCTTTGTTTTTTCTAATTCCCTATAAGGGCAGGTTTTGGTCATTACGTTTGCACCAAAAACCTAGCAAATTTACCCAGACTGCCATAAGTTTTGTGTAATTAATGGATATGTTAGCCACAATGCAGTTAAAAGGAAATGGTTTTATTTTTAAAATTATTTTACTAAAGGGACACACTGTAGGCACCAAAACAGCAGTTTTGGTGTATAGATGGCGCCCCTGCAGTCTCACTGCTCAATTTTGACATTTAGCAGTTAAATCACTTTGTTTATATAGCCCTGTTACCGGGAAACTGACAGAGGCCAAGCACAGAGAGATGGACACAGGTTTCTTCAGGAAGGAAGAGATCTTTATTCGATTCACCGACCAGGACTCAGAGGGACTTATGTCACCAAAAACAGCAAAGATCTGAGCACTGAATACATAGAGTACATTCCTTATATAGCACTGTAGCTCCTCCCATAATTAGCTACTCCCACACATACCCTTAACCTAATCAATGAATAGTCTAAACTCATCCATCCGGTCTAACCACGTGGCTCATCTGAAACAAAGGAGAGGGACGCGTAATTCCAGTTCCTGCATTCCTGCACATGCTCAGTACAGTGATGACAGTATCTTAGCTACGTGTAACTAACTGATACTACAAACACATGTACCTACATATGCCTTGTGGCAATCTTGGCCTGCTAAACTTGTATTTTACTGGAATTCCATCACATTCCCCCCTTTGATGCTTCTGATTTAAAATAATTCCAGATGCATCACCAATCATAGTTTGCTTACACCTCAAGTTGCCATAAACCAGACTAGACTTTGCGATCCTCTAAAGATACGAACCCCTCAACATTCCTCTTCCTGCATGTATTCTCCTTGATCTAGAGCTTCATACCTGCAAACAGCCATTACCTGTGCTGCGGCCTTTCTTTCTGCTATACTTTCTATAATGCTCTGCATAGACCTAATTACCAAAGGAATCAGACATGGCAGAAGGAGACACAACATCAAAATCAGTATGACTCCACCTACCAATGCCTTGATTCCTCCAAACTGCTCATACCAACTACCAAACCAACTACTCGGATTATACCCTTTCCATACCTGAGTAGGTACATGTGCTAGCTTAACCATATGGCTAGTAAGCTCAGCTATTGCTTGCCCTTCATCATCTATTTGAAGACAACAATTGCTTAGATTAAACTTCCCACATACACCTCCCTCTACTGCCAATAGGTAATCCAAAGCTAATCTATTCTGGTAGATGGCTGTCCTCATCCTAGTGTTATGCTTCGCTAGGAGATTGAGCGCTTGTGATGTTTCATTGGTAACTATCTCAACTACTGCTTGCAATCTTATAATACGATTAAGCATATATATTGGGGTTCTGTATCCATAAGTACCATCCTCTGCCCACGTAGCTGGCCCATAATAATCTATAATACGCTGGGGAGGCCACTCATCATCTTCCCAGGTACCTATCTCTAGGGGTGCCCTTTTCTTCCTATGATTTACATCATATACTTTAACTCCCAAAGTCTCTCCTGTTTCAATTGGCAACAAGAAGAAGGATGGTTTGAGCATACCCAATACACATGCCCCTTCCCAGTCCTGTGGTAACTCCGAATATGCTTTCTTACCACAAATCCAGTACAAATTTGCTGGGGCTTTCCAACTAGATTTAGCAGATAGGTCAAACCATACATCCTTTAAATTGGTATAATTTGCAAACAGATTAGACGGTTCTGAGACATTTGAAGCTGACCACCAAATAGTATCCTTTGTATCGTCATTATAGGCTTTCTGCCCTAAACAAGTCAATTCTCCTACAGATGTATTAAACATTATTCCTTTCCTTGCTATACAAACATAACCTATAATGGAGGTCTTTAATCGCCACTCAGATTTACCTCTAACACTCACTTGATAATTAGATTGAGAAGATATTAGTTGTTCAACTGTCTCAGAACCAGAATACATTACCTCCTTTGCTTCCCAAGGCCATTGGTCTCCCATATTAGTACCTCCACACACATAGCAGTTGGTTACATTAAGACTACCAGCAATGCTCTCAGCTAGGTCTATGAATAAGTTTTTGGCATTATGGGGAACCTTATCTTCCACACTCATCTCCTCATAAAAAGAATGGAAAACCTGATGAGTCTGGGGGGCCACTGTATCTGTCTCTATTCCTATGTATAATATCGTCCCAGGATCCAAACCTGTTCCATATATTTGGAACCCAAATAGATTCCCAAACTTATCTATAAATAGCTCTGGGTCCTTGATAAGTATATGGACTGGGTTACACTCCATAGACTTACAATATGGCTTGGTAGGCAATCTAGTGATAATCATATCCTTATCTACTGTCTGTCCCCAGGTTGCCCATCCCACACAGGATCAATACGCACAATAATTGTAGTCTTTATTTAGGCAGTTTGGATCTATATACTTATGCTTATTACTAGGACAAATATACTTATCATTAGACCCATACGTTCTTTCCCATTTAAGACCACCACATACATTCAATGGCTTCCTACTACCTGATATCGCCTTACATGCATCAAATAGCAATACACCTGGAGAATGTACGCTTTCTAGTACAATCTTATTTATCAGGTTCCCCTGTGCGTTCTCATTCCGAATAGTCAACCAAATTGTACGGGGCTGATACTCAGGATTAAAACACCTAGGTTCTCCTGCTCCTATATGGCGGACACTATAATCTGTACCTAGGTATATACACTTTGATACATGTCCTGTGCACTCATATTGCGAATGCCACATAAGGGTCTGGGAAATATGATTGCCTGTTTTTGTAGTCTTAATGCAAACCTTGCAGCCTGGTGTGTCGGTACCTCTACCTTCCTGAATAATTAAAAACACACACATATACATCATCAAACACATCACTCCTGACATCTTCTTCCTAATTCTTCGACCGTGCGACTGCACCTCAGCTTCCAGGCGTGTGAGGGCTGCAGGGAATGGAGTCCTTCTGATCCTCACTGTTCTTCACAGAGGATTCCTCTGGCTTAAACGTTGGTAGGTGGTCAGGCTTTATTGTGGCCGTCAAAACACCTACTTGTAGATCTTTGTTGATGTTTCCTTGTAACAATACTCTTCGCAAAAACCACTTTTAATCTAACCGGGTCACTCGCTTCAACCAGATCTTGCCAAGAATCTGCTGCTGGTTTAACCCTGGAGTGATGAATCCACGGAGTCACCTCTGCCACCTTTATAGCTGTTGGAGTAGACAAAAGAACAGCAGAAGGACCCCTCCACTTTGGCCCCAATGGTACACTGTTCCACTCCTTTATCCAAACTTGGTATCCTGGATGGTAAGAATGGACAGGTGGATAAATATTTACAGGTAACCTATCTTGTACCCATTTCTGTACCTCCTCCATAGTTTTACTCAACTCTACAACCTGCCGCCGGGTAATTCCTTCTCCCAACTGACTCAAGTCCCCTCTTAAGTTACTAAGTATGGGAGGTGGACGCCCATACATAATTTCAAAGGGTGATAGACCTAACTTTCTGGTAGGTGTACTACGAATGCGCAACAGAGCTATTGGCAAAAGAACATTCCACTTGAGTTGGGTTTCTTGACACATGTTTGCCAACTGGGTCTTAATGGTTCTGTTCATCCTTTCCACTTTCCCAGAACTCTGAGGCCTATATGCTGTATAAAGTTTCCACTTAATACCAAGCATATGAGTCAATTGTTGTAGGCACTGATGGACAAAAGCTGGACCATTATCTGATCCTATAGAACACGGTAGTCCATATCGGGGTATTTCTCACAACAGAAATCGCACAACTTCTCCTGCTTTCTCTGTACGAGTTGGACACGCCTCTACCCATCCTGAGTAGGTACATACAGCTACTAGTAGGTAACGATGTCCGCCGGATTTGGGCATTACCGTGTAGTCTATTTGGAGATCGGACATAGGAAGCCCTCCCATGTACTGGACTCCCGGTGGTTTCACTGGACCTTGCCTTGCGTTGTTCTTGGCACATGACACGCATCTTCGAACAATGGCTTGAGTCAAGTTGGACAATCTTGGTATGTAGAAATGCTTCCTAAGAGATTCTTCCATACTATCTCTTCCAGAATGTGTCCCATTATGATAATTCTGGACAATTTCTACAGCTAACTGATACCAATTATTCTCCAAATATTTCCCAGCTTCAGTCTTTAACCACTCTACTTCTTGAGCTGTATAAACTGGAGTCCACTGGGACAGAGGGGTCGGTATAAGAGCTGCTACACACTCCACATATTCTTTTTGTCCGGATTCAGCGGCACGCTTAGCTGCACTATCTGCCATCCGATTTCCTTTCACCACATCACCATCACCTTTCAGATGTGCTCGACAATGTATGATACCAACTTCCTTCGGCTCCCATACAGCTTCCAATAGTTGTAATATCTCAGCTGCGTACTTGATTTCTTTTCCTTCTGAGGTCAGTAATCCTCTTTCTTTATACAAAGCTCCATGGGCATGAGTGGTTAAAAACGCGTACTTTGAGTCTGTGTAGATATTTACTTTCAACCCTTCAGCCAATTGCAAAGCCCGTGTAAGTGCGATTAATTCTGCCTTCTGTGCTGATGTTCCTTTTGACAATGGCCGCGCTTCTATCACCTTGTCTATAGTTGTCACTGCATATCCGGCATAGCGAATCCCTTCTTTCACGTAACTACTGCCGTCCGTGTAATACTGAACATCGGGGTTCTGGATGGGAAAATCATGAAGGTCCGGTCTACTTGAGAACACTTCATCCATTACCTCCAGGCAATCATGTCGACTCTCAGTAGGTTGCGGCAAGAGGGTAGCTGGGTTCAAGGTATTAACAGTCTCAAGATGCACTCTCGGGTTCTCGCATAACATGGCTTGATACTTAGTTATGCGGCTATTGCTAAACCAATGATTACCTTTATAGTCTAGCAACGTCTGTACTGCGTGCGGGACTCGCACATAGAGTTCCTGACCCAGAGTGAGCTTGTCAGCTTCTGCTACCAACAGGGCGGCGGCAGCTACGGCCCTTAGACAAGGAGGAAGACCACTGGCTACTGCATCCAGTTGTTTGGACATATACGCAACAGGTCGTTGCCATGATCCCAGATACTGTGTCAGTACTCCCACAGCCATCCTTCTTTGCTCGTGTACATATAAGTAGAATGGACGTGTATGATCAGGTAGACCTAATGCGGGGGTGCTCATCAATGCCTTCTTAACATCCTCAAATGCCTTCTGCTGTTCGATGGTCCACAGGAAGGAATCATGTTCCGTGCCTTTAATAGCGGCATAGAGGGGTTTCGCCAGTATCGCATAACTGGGAATCCATATCCTACAGAAGCCTGCTGCCCCTAAGAATTCTCGCACTTGTCTTCTATTCTTAGGTGTTGGTATTTGGCATACAGCCTCTTTTCTTTCAGGCCCCATTATCCTTTGACCTTCAGAGATATGGAATCCCAGATACTTGACAGTTGGCTGACACAACTGAGCTTTCTTCCTGGACACCTTGTATCCTGCCTTCCAAAGAATGTGCAGTAAATCATAAGTTGCTTGCTGGCATATCTCTTTAGTAACTGCCGCTATCAACAAATCATCCACGTATTGTAGTAGTACACATTCTCCTGGGATGGACTTGAAATCTAATAAGTCCTGACTTAATGCGGATCCAAATAGGGTAGGTGAATTTTTAAACCCTTGGGGCAATCTTGTCCAGGTCATCTGACGTTTCGAGCCCGTTACAGCATCTTCCCATTGGAATGCAAAGATACACTGGCTTTCTGTAGCAATTCGTAGGCAAAAGAAGGCATCTTTAAGGTCCAAGACTGTAAAGTAAGTAGCCCCACCCGGAATCAAGGCAAGCAGGTTATAAGGATTGGGCACAACTGGATGTATACTTACTACCGCATCATTGACTGCTCTCAAATCCTGCACAGGACGATACTCATCTGACCCAGGCTTCTGAACAGGCAACAATGGAGTATTCCAGGGGGAAGTACAGAATTTTAGGATACCATACCTTATGAACTTATCCAAATAAGACTGTATGTTCTTCTTCGCCTTTTGAGGTATATGGTATTGTTGCAGGCTTACTGGATAAACCCCAAGCTTTAGTTCAATGCGTATAGGTGGGATATTGCGAACAAGTCCTGGTGGGTTATTTTCTGCCCACACTCCTGGTATATTATACAAGGATTCATCACTTTTAGGGTTTTGACTTGTCATCACTGTATAAAGTCGCCACTCTTCTTCCTTTGGTACTGATAGTGTCATTATACCTGAGGGTCCATTAAACTTCAAGGATGTCGTTCCAGAAATGTTATCTGCGCTTGTAACTTCGACAACAAATCCCGTCCTAGGAGTTGGACTGGACATTCAGACATGTAAAGAAACTGATGTTTCACTACGTGGCCTCCCAGTGTACAGACTTGACTTTTGAGAACCGGTTTAGCAGCACTCCTCCCAGTTGCTCCTATTACAGTGATAGTTCTTCCTGAAGGAGGAGCAACTAGGTCGGTTACCACAGAATGTTCAGCACCAGTGTCGATCATGAAAGAACTTCTTTTTCCCCCTATTGCTACATCGACCATAGGCTCCGCTCGACCAAGGGGGATGGAGCTCGGTCGGTATCAATAGTCCTCCATGACAGTGTCAGCCAAACCCATAAAGTCCCTATCTTCTTTCTCGCGGTCTCTGCGCTGCTGGGTAATACCTATCCCCTTGAACGCTTCCTCTACTATTCCCACCATTTCCTCCAGGGCCTCCTCTTCCTCTCACTCTACCTCTATAGTTATTACTATATCCTCCCCTTGTTCTATCTCTCTCATGTTGTTCCATCAATGGACACTCACTCCTCCAATGCCCTTCTTCCCTACAATATGCGCATTGGTTCCTACTTAAAGGCTCCCTATTTCACTTATTCTCGCTTTTCTCGGTTCCCCTGTACACTTCCTTTTCCCTTCTATCTACACCAGCGATAGCTACCGCTAACATATCTGCCTTCCTTCTCATCTTACCCTCTTCTTCCTTCTTCGTCTCTGTCTCCCTATTCATATAAACCTTATTTGCTATTTCCATTAGTTGAGTTATAGACATCCCTACAAACCCTTCTAGCTTTTGCAATTTTCTTTTAATATCTCCGTAAGCCTGGCTGACAAAGGCAGAGTTAACCATCTGGGAATTCTCAGGAGCCTCTGGACTAAAGGGGGTATACAATCGGTATGCCTCCAATAATCGGTCATAAAAGGCACTGGGCGACTCATCACATTTCTGCAATACCTCAGCCGTCTTTGACATATTGATCGCCTTTTTCCCTCCGGCTTTCATGCCAGTAATAATGGCTTCCCTATAAGCTTTTAGGTGAGTCATATCAGCACCATTAACATTCCAATTCGGATCTACGTTTGGGTAATGAGCTGCGGCCCATGCTGCCGGGTTGGCCTGATTCTGTGCAAGCGCTTTAATTGCCGCCTGATTAATCCGAGTCCTTTCCTCGTTATTAAACAATGTCATAAGCAATTGCTGGCAATCAGCCCAAGTGGGATTGTGCGTTTGGATTATGGAGGTAATCAAATCTGTCATGGCTTGAGGTTTGTCTGTGTAAGAGGAGTTATGGGTTTTCCAGTTGAACAAATCCGTAGTGGTAAAGGGAACATAAACAAATACGGGGTCGGCATGTTGTAACTGGCCTTCACCATTAATGTGTGTCGGGCCCGGTGTCAATCGGAGAGGCATTTGATAATGTCGGGGTTGGAGGGTACCGGTCAATTGTCGGGTTAGTATGGGGCTTCGTTGAGGAAGGTCAGTTATGGGTTCCGGTCGAGGGGTAGTAAGACCAGGGGAGGGGGACGCTTTTTCTTTACTGAAGGGGAGGTTGGTAAGCAGAATATTCCGGGCTGGGAGGAGCCTGACCAGGAACCAGAAATGACGTCAAATCCGGATAGGTGGAGTTAGTGGGGGTAGGTACCGGAAGGGGAGGATTTAGAACAAGTGGGCTGGGCTCTGAGCTAGAGGATGGGGTAGGAGGAGACAATGGGGCAGGAGGAGACAATGGGGCAAGGGGAGTGGCATTACTAGCCGCACCTCCTCTTCCTGTAGAGGAGGAGTAAGGGGGCGGTAAAGGAATCTCTGACTCAGGGGGCGTGTCCAGAATGGGCGTGATCACGGCCTTGGTGGACAAACGAGTTCTGGCCAACAGGAGGCGGCATTGCTCCTCTTGGCACACCCTGATCCATTTTGGCAAGTCATCCACGGCCTGTTTCCAACAATCAATATATGGAAACTGGTCGTAAAGTTCCGGCCTACCAGATACAGCTACGTGTACACGCTGCACTAGATTAGGATCAAGACTACCACGTGGAGGCCATGCAACCACTAAGGCAGGCCATTCCCTGCTACATAAAGTAGTCAAACGTGTTGGAGACCTCTTTACCCCAAAATCACATACATTATATCCCTTTTAAAATTCTTTAACATGCAATCTAAGGGATCAACGATCTTTGAATCCAACACACCCATACTTAACAATGGAGCGTCGTCTCCAATAGAAACAAAACAAAATACACTTCCAACAGTCACACCCGTTTCCCTTGGCAACAGCACCACGTGGCACAGTTACTAGGCCAAACGCACACAACAAATCATACAGGGAATTCCCGTACACACACAGCTGTTACACCACACACTAAATAACTATTACTGTACCTTTTTTGGCGAAATTATACAATTACCCACGCTATAATTCTCAGTATTTAAATTACCCGTCTATAACACACCCTAGTAACATCGTCTTTACAAACAGTAGTTATAGTACGGTTAGCATTGGTTAGAATACAATTTTAAAGTCACAGGTCAGTTAATAGTAGTTATGGTGTTAAACATACAACATAAACGACAGTTATTAGTGATTATTTACAGTATCAGTGTTTATAATACATGGTTATGGTACCGTGCGCTATGATACAGTTACACACTATTCACACTCTCGCTAGACGGCAGAGCTCACGCTACCCAGCAAGATATACACTCTACTATAATAAATTTTAACACATTTACAGTTTCTCAACTAATCTATTAGACAGTACCTCGAGGGACTACCTAAAACTATTTACATCCGTTTTGGTTAGCCGTCGCTGCCGAAGCACCACATATAGCGAACTAGAGGGCGGAATTTACAACAATACCCTTTTAGTCTATCTACTCTATCAATAGTCTAGTGGGTTCCAAATTTACATGCCTTCCCACTTAGCCAAGATAGGTTGAGAACTAGCAAACGATAATGTACACCAGAGTCTGCTTAGTCTCCCGGTCCCTCCGACCTAGCGAACGAAATGTACACCCTAGATACGCTAGTCTAGACAAGACACCGGTGTCCGGCTTGGGCTATATACATTCAACCAAGACCCAGCCTGACTCCATACCAAGATTAGACGGGCTGACTACAGGGCGTCTAATTATGAGCGGTGCGCCTTCGCTCCTTCCCTCCCTGGAGGGGGCCAATTCCATACACAATTCCAATTCAAACCCCTTATGGGTCTACCGCACAATCGGTATCCAATACCCCTAGTGGGTACACCGTCTAAAACAGTAGTAGTCTTACCTCCTCGTTCCTGAACCTGAGTTCACACTCATCGACGGGGACTCCCCAGTACTTACTATGTAGAGGCCAATGATCTCCTGGACAACAGACCAGTGGCGCCGAGACGAAGGGCGGTCCACGCAGAAGTTCAGGGGTGCAGCCGTAGAGAACGTGGGCAAAGATAGACCGTCTCACGCCTCTGCTTCCTAGCCACCGTTAACGACGAGCTTCCCGGCCAACGCACCAAAGATGTTACCGGGAAACTGACGGAGGTTTCTTCAGGAAGGAAGAGATCTTTATTCGATTCACCGACCGGGACTCAGAGGGACTTATGTCACCAAAAACAGCAAAGATCTGAGCACTGAATACATAGAGTACATTCCTTATATAGCACTGTAGCTCCTCCCATAATTAGCTATGCCCACACATACCCTTAACCTAATCAATGAATAGAGTCTAAACTCATCCATCCGGTCTAACCACGTGGCTCATCTGAAACAAAGGAGAGGGATGCGTAATTCCAGTTCCTGCATTCCTGCACATGCTCAGTACAGTGATGACAGTATCTTAGCTACGTGTAACTAACTGATACTTCAAACACATGTACCTACATATGCCTTGGGGTAATCTTGGCCTGCTAAACTTGTATTTTACTGGAATTCCATCACAGCCCTAGTCACACTGCTCTTTATGGAGTTACACAGCTTTCCTAAACACTTCATGTAAAGAGACATCTGATGTTTACACTTCCTTTCTTGTAAATTCAGTTTAACTTACAATTTCTTATTCCCTGCTCTGTTAATAGGCTTCTAGACCCTGCAGGACCTGTGTTTGTGAGTAGTTACATTTACAGAGCAGGAGATAAAAAAATGTCTAAAGCAAGTTGGCATCTGATTAAAAAAAATTAAACCATGTTTTCCTTGCAGGCTGTGTCGGTCACAGACAGGGAAGGCATGGCAAGGGCTAAGTAAATAGAAACTCTCCCTCCCTCCCCCCTCTCTCTCTCTCTCTCCCTCCCCCCCCTCTCTCTCTCACAACCCCCCAATGGTCGTGTATGTGATCATAAATTGCATAAACCTTCCACAACGTCAATGTACCCTATTCTTGTGTAGCTCCTGCTCTTATGATATTTTTAATCCACTTGCTTGGGAAATGCTTCCTCCTGGTACTCTGTGCAGTGCAATGTTAACTAGGGCCCTGGAATAATGCACCTGTGACAGGAAGTATATCCATCCAAGAAGGCAGCATTCACCTGAACATTGATATGCTATAAGAGTGCTGCTGGGTTCAATTCATAAAACATTCAAGATTGAGCGCACTCATTCACTAAACAACAATTTTTCTCTTTTCAGGTACACACCTGTGGGACGTTCTTTCTTCTCTGCTCCTGAAGGCTATGATCATCCTCTGGGAGGTGGGAGAGAAGTATGGTTTGGTTTTCATCAATCTGTTCGTCCTGCCATGTGGAAAATGATGCTAAACATTGATGGTGAGTTTTTTTTTTTTTTTTGGTTAAGCTCTTAAACTTCTGATCATATATTGTGCAAAGGGTGTCTTTAAATATGTCAAGGTTGTCCCCCCAGGCCCTCTCCATCCTTTATAAAGGAATAATTGGTAACACTACAAATCCCACACAAGGTACTTTTTTTAGTGTCTGTCTCACACCCCCATCATAAACACAACGTGAATAAGTAATTTCCAATTAAATCAAATTCCCTGCATACCTAGGTCTGTAGTCAGTCAAAGCTTCTGTATTTTGTGCAGCCAACTGACACAGTCAACAAGCATCTCTGCCTTTTTCTTTGTATATCAAAGCTCTGGAATAGATCATCACAGTACTTTGTTATAGTTGTCCAAGCTGGAGATTAATGTTTTAGTTCAGCTCTCAATGAATTAAAGGAATGCTTTAAAATAATACATATATTATGTGATCAGATGTATTCCTTGCTAGGCTTAGATTAGGGACTGCTCCCCTTTTATTTTTAAAAAAACAAGTCAACTTGCCTTTAATTCAGCGCTAAGACAGTCTTTTCACAGCAATCTGATCTGCCTAAAATGAGATCCTTAATCATATCCTTGGCAGCAGATGCTCCACATAGAAAAAAAAAAAACCAAACATTGAGGACCATAATTGCTTCTGTGGCAATCACTGCGATCTGCCAATCTAATGCTTCTCTGTAACGCACAAACTCCAGTGCATTCAGTGGTCTCTGGTTATATCATACTGTTCTTCAATGGTTTTCTGTTAAAATGTGGGATGGAACCTGGGGAGCTATAAATGATTGGGTTGCATATTTTGCAATAAGCTTTGAACCAGAAAGTTACTCACTTAAAAGGGCACTCGAAGCAAAGAATGGGAGCTTGCAGCAGATTCTATAACTTTAATTGTGAGTGCTTTTAAGTTTGCAGTAGTCGGACTGTATTGTAAACGGCTAAATGTTGTGGAAGGATATTTCACTTGGAATGTAGACCCAATATTAAACGTATATAAAAACAGCACAAGTGCAATGTAATTAGGCCTCTGGATCGTCCTCTTGTTGTGTTTTCACATGCTCATTCATCCATGCTGGCTAATGTCAGATTCCTGATGCTTGTTATGTGGAAATTTTAGTAATGACCGCAGTTGTTTTTAACATAAAATAACATGTGGAATTATATCATTTGAAAATAGCTAATGGGTGTTGGCACAGAGTGCTTATGTATAGCATGCCGCAATATTTCACAACACAGGTTTTAAAGGATTACTCCTACCCTTTATGACACTAATTTGGTTTTGATTTACAAGGCAAAAATAACACTTGTGTGGTCTTATCATAAGCGTCTGATGCTCATGAATGTGCAGTGTTTCATGCACAAATGCTGCACATTCAGACCTCTTCCACCATGACCACTTCAAATCTCTATTGTGGTTGGAGTAACACTTTAAAAATGGTTAACCGACAAAGGAGAATGTGGTTTAAGAGATGACTGTGTCCCTGCTCAAATGAGTTTACAATGTATAGGGAAGTTTGCTATTTATTTGTCTCCGTTAGATTTACATCAGTCTAAGTTAGGAGCACGTTATCACATGTAGCAGTCAGATTAATTTAAGGAAGACCATTTCTGTGTGAGAAAGTTGGGTAATGGGAGGTGGATGACGTTAAGGGGAAAACAATTGCGCTTTAAGGTATGACAACACTACTTCTTTGATAAACTGATTTATCCCCACCTGAATGGGTGAATATTTATTTTCATTCACCTGCTTCTGTCTAACAGTACAACAAATATTTCAGAAGTACAGGCATGTTGAAGTATATACAGAGAATACGGTCTGACGACTTGTTTCACATTTGGCCCATCAATTATCTTTTTTTTTCAGTTTCTGCGACTGCCTTTTATAAAGCACAACCTGTTATCCAGTTTATGTGTGAAGTTCTGGACATCCATAACATCGACGAACAACCACGAGCTCTGACAGATTCTCATCGGGTAAAATTTACAAAAGAAATTAAGGGTAAGTGAAAGATTGTTTCCAGGTGACTTTATGTGCTCAATTACTATTTTCCTGCAAGGGGGAATTGTAACTGTCACATTACAGGATTGTTGATCTTTACTTATGACTATTTTCAACAAAATTATGGATTTGTGGTGTGTGATAAACAAAATGTAAATGAATTTCTATATCATGCCCTTGCAGTCTAACTGCTCATGTCTCTGCCATGTAGGAGTTAAATAACCTTGTTTGTACTGCCCTAGTCACACCTACCCTGCATATGACCTACAGTGTCATACATATTTCCTGTAAAGAGAGATCTAATGTTTAAGCGGTCTTTATTACACAGTCAGTTTAATATAGAATTTATCTGCTTTTAAATATCATGAAGGAGCCTGCTGTGTGTGACTCAAGGTTTTTTTTACATCTTAAAATAAGCACAGTGCTGTCACATGTAAATTATTATTTATTTATTTTTTTTTCTTGTTGGCAATTTGAGTCACAGCCAGGGCAGGTGTGGCTAGTGCTGCTTAAACAGACATAAAAGTAACTGAATTCCTAAATGGCGGAAAACTAAGAAATGAAACTACGGGGACCTGATCTATACTCTAAAATTGATTCATTAAACTTAAGTTATTTTGGTGCTTAGTTTCCCATTAATGTTAAAGGGATTCTATAGTCCTCAAATCAACTTTAGCTTAATAAAGCAGTTCTGGTATATAGATGATGCCCCTGCTGTCTCACTGCTCCATTCTCTGCCATTTAGGAGTTAGGTCACTCTGTTTATGCAGCACCTCCATGCATGTGACTTACACAGGCTTCCTAAACACCGTAAAATGCATTTATTGCAAGTTATGTTTAATTTCGAATTTCTTATCTCCTGCTCTATTAATAGCTTGCTAGGCCCTGCATGAGCCTCCAGTGTGTGTTTAAAGTTCAATTTATAGAGCAGGAGATAAAACTTAAGTAAGTTAACATTTGATTGTTTTCATGCAGTTTGTGTCTGTCGCAGTCAGGGGAGGTGTGGCTAAGACTGCATAAACAGAAACAAGAGTGATTTAACTCCTAATTGGTAGAGAATTGAGCAGTGCAACTTTAGAGGCATGATCTATACAAAAAAAAAAATGCTTGATTAGGCTACGGTTGTTTTGGTGATTAGTGTACCTTTAAGTGTGTGTGCCTGTAATACATGCTAAATGTTTATATACTGTTATTTTGGTGAATGAAAAATTGAGTTACACATTTAACCCCTTAAGGACACATGACATGTGTAACATGTCATGATTCCCTTTTATTACAGAAGTTTGGCCCTTAAGGGGTTAAGCAGTCTTCTGATAAACACTTATTGAATATTTTAGCTCTTTCTATTCACTTTACTTAAAGGAACACTAAAAAAAATTAACTACTCAAGTAACCCTCCTCCACCTGTATGTAGTAGCCTTTTGCTATTGACTCATTGGCTGAGAACAATCAACTGATACCACCAGCCTATAAGCTGGCCCAAGAGGGTTACCGAAGGGTCTATGCAAGCTTCTGGCTCTCAAAAAAAAAAAAGTGACTGGCAGGCTCTAGGTTAGAATTTAAACTGTTGGCAAACAATTTGACTATTTTAATTGTGGCTCCAGGGTGCTTCTGGCACCATAACCACAATGGTGCACTGTAGTTATTGTGGTGTTTGGAGTGTTCCTTAAGTAAAACGCACAGGTTTTCATAATCCCAGACTGGCAAAACATGGAGAGCAGAAGAGAGAGACATGCATACACCACACCCCATTAGAAATGGAACAGCCCAGTACAACTTTAGATACCTACCAGTCTTTTAATTTTTGCTTTTCTCTCCTTTTTGCTAGCAGTGACCTCTCTCCCCCATCTTCTTCTTTTAAAGCTCACTTCTGCCATCCCAATCAGTTTGTGACCCTTGGTTTGTCATTTATTCTGGACCTAATTTCTCTACCTAAGTTTGACTACTACTTTCATGTCTTGCATCCCTAGTTTTAGAATTTCTCAAACCATTTAATCCACCCTGGTTTGTGTCCCCTGTCTTGCATGCTGCCTATTGTATTCCTTTTTAGTTTGCACAGGCAAATCTGTTCTGGAAGCATACTGAAGAATTCAATACGCATTGACATCAGTTTGTCTGGTGCAGTGATGTCAGTGCGCAGGCCACCTATGTTTGTACAGTGGGCTTTTTATAGGCAACTTTAGTTAAGAATGGATATATTGCAGAGCTTGACTAACAAGGGCCTATCCTGGATCTCTGTTTCCAATACTGGCTGCATTACTTTTGTGCCTCAGAACTGAGGTGGTCAGTGGTAGTTTTGCAGTCTGTGAGATGACAACCTTTTGCTTTGCCACAACAAATATGCTTTCATTGACCAAAGTAACAGGGGACACTTTTTATGGTATGTTATTCAATGTAGTTTCTTTTCTTCACTTTATTTTAGATACGCTTTTTTCTCTCTTTTTAAATAAAATTTGAACTATATAATCTTTAGTACTTACTTTGTGAACCAATTTAACTATACTGCCTCTACTCTTGATGAACATTCACAATGTCTGCTTACTTTGTGTATGAGCAGTAGGTTTACATTCTCTGTAATTCGGTAATGCAGCTGGATTGAGTGCTTTTTATTTTCTGTCGGTGTGACCTTTTGTATGCTTGGCACAGGTCTGAAGGTCGAAGTTACTCATTGTGGAACAATGAGAAGAAAATACCGTGTCTGCAATGTGACCAGGAGAGCCACCAGCCATCAAACGTAAGGCCCATCCTATTTTGTTCCCTGCTTATTATAATAATAAAGATACCAGTATCTGATATGTCAAAACATAAATAGTAGATATTTTGATTTTTAGATGATTAGATACTTTAAAGGGACACTCTAGACACTATAGGCATTTATTGAAGTGGTCTGGGTGCAGTGTCTCTGTCCCCTTTACCCTGCAACGTAAAGCATTGCAGTTTTAGACAAAGGTGATTTTAACAATGTATTCACCGGTGGGGGAACACTGAGGAAGGAGGACACAAGTGATAGGAACATTTGCGAACATTTTTTAAAATGGAAAGCCAATAAACATACTGTAGCATTGTGATAAATGTTGAAATTTGCCCCCCTTCCTCTACTTTCCCTTTGCGACAGATTTTACAATGATGCCAACGGTTATAGATTCATGAAGAGACATATCTGTACAAATGCACACTCAGGAGCTGGCATCTACAGTGCAGGCAAACATTTGTGTATTTAATCTGTACAGCTGCTTGCATACCTATTGTTTTCTTGTGAAAGTAGTACTGTCCAGGGTTGTGTAGCATGTGGTCATTTGGTTAGATGTTCCAAAAAGCTTCCCATATTTAGATCCAGTTACTCCCGTTGTATTTGAAATGAGTTCTTTCTCCACAGCTTCCCTTTACAGTTGGAGAATGGACAGACGGCAGAAAGGACAGTTGTTCAGTACTTTAAGGAAAAGTATGGCCTACAGCTAAAGTACCCTCATCTGCCCTGTTTACAAGTTGGACAGGAGCAGAAACACACATACCTGCCTCTAGAAGTAAGTAATACAATATTGACTTAAAGCTTAGTGGTTGAGTAATGTATGAGCTTCATCCAGGCACTGTGCCATTCAGAGACCGGATCACATAGCATTTTACCACATTATTACTGTTCAGCATTGAGTGTAATTTGTATTTTGAAAAGTGGTTTAAAATCATATTCATGATGGTGAAAATATGCATCATCTTAAATCCTCTCCGTAAGGACTACACAATATTCTTCAACCCGGAAATCAACCATATCGCCCTGGTAAGCTAATTTAATCACTTCTTCGTTACACACAACACTTTTTAAAAAAATATATTACACACAAAAATATGCCTGCAATATTTAATTAACACACAACTCAGAATGTAACCCAAAATAAATATAAGTGGAGCAGTATTATTTAGTGGATATTCCCCACACCAAAAAATAAAGGTATGTTATCCTTGTATGTCTATAAGCGGCATCTTCAATCACTCAGCCAACTCAGTGATACATATATTGAAAAAAATTTGATAATTTCAATGGTAGTAAAATGCCCACACTGAATGAAATCTTGAATAGAATTTTACGGATACATATATTCAAACCCATATCTGCAAACATTTCAGTTATTTATCGGCCCCCTGGTTCTCCTCATCTCTTCCTTGACCATATTGCTGCCTGGCTTCCTTACTTTCAAGGGTTATCACATCCCTAAGTCTCGGTGATTTCAACATTCCCATTAACCCACCCTTGTCCTCAGCCTCAAAACTTATTTGAATCACCTCCTCCTTTGGGCTATCACAGTGGGCTATTCTCCCACACATGTAGCTGGCAATACCCTAGATCTTATTATTTCAAATGCATGCTCAGTCTTTAATCTCTGTAATACTCCATTTTCTCAATCAGTCGACCACCCCCTATCATTTGTTCTTGAGTGCCCCCACACCCAATATCCTAAACCTAACTCCACTCATCTCAGGAGGAATTTTAATTCTCTTGACCTCCAGCAGCTCTCGACTGATATCCATTCTGAACTCTCATCCATCCCTACCCTCTCCTGTCTCTCTCTGGCGATCTCCTCATACCCTCACCCCTGCCCTAGACGCTGCAGCCCCACTCCAAGCACGCACTTCAAGGAGGACGCGCCTCCAGCCATGGCACAATAAGTCAACCCGCTACCTGCAGAGATGCTCCCGTTCAGCTGAACGCTGCTGGAGGAAGTCTCCTTGTCAGACTTTCAACACTATAAGTTAATCTTGCATTCATGCAGCGCAGCCCTCACCCTTGCTAAACAGTCCTTCTTTTCTTCTCTCAGTTCATGCTCCCGTAATCCTAGGCTTCGCCCTGCTGTGGCCACCCCACAAACGAATCTTTCAGCCGATAGCTTTGCATGTTACTTTACTGACAAGATTAAACAGTTAAGGAATTAATTCTTTCCCCCCTTCTCCCCTCTCTATCTTAACCTCAGTTTGACTATACCATCCCTACCCTCCATGCCTTCTCTCCATTTACTGAACATGAGGTGGCTGCACTTCTGCTTTCCTCTCGTCCCACCACGTGTCCGCTCCATCCCATCCCGTCCCACCTCATCATATCTCTCGCCCCTTGTCTGGTGCAGTCATTAATGCACATCTTCAACTGCTCTTTCTTTTGGTGTTGTCCCAGCTCCCCTTAAACATGCTACTATTGTACCTGTCCTCAAAAAGCCATCTCTTGACCCTACTTCCCATATCCCTGCTCCCTTTCTCCTAAAAGCTTTTGGAAAGACTTGCCTTTACCTGTGTCTTGCTTTCTCAACTCCAACTCTCTTCTTGACCTTCTTCAGTCTGGATTCTGCCCCCTCCACTCCACAGAGATTGCTCTGACTAGAGTTACAAATTATCTAATTGCAGCTAAATCCAAAGGCCACTACTCCATACTAATTCTTCTTGATCTCTCAGCTGCCTTTGACACGGTTGATCATGGCCTCCTTCTCCTAACTCTTCAATCTCTTGGTTTCTGTAACACAGCCCTCTCATGGTTCTCTTACTATCTCTCCCAACACTCCTTCAGTGTCTTTTTCCAACACCTCTCCTCGTCCTGTCTCCGTCGCTGACGACACCCAGATATACCTCTCATCCCCTGACCTCTTCCCTGCTGTCATACATGTCACCAACTGCCTTTCTTCTATCTATGACTGGATGTCCTCACGCTTTCTAAAAACGCAATCTCTCCAAAACTGAGCTCCTTATCCTCCCCCCCCTCATAATGCTGATCCTCCTCCTTCGCTTTCCCTGAAAGTTGATGGTACTTGCATCAGTCCATCCTTGCAAGCTCGTTGTCTTGGTGTTCTCTTTGAACCTGGCCTCACCTTTGCGCCTCATCCAGAATGTTGCTAAAATCTGTTGATTCCAGCTTAAAAACCTTGTCCGCATACACCCTTTCTTATGCAAGAAGCTTGTTCATGCTCTAGTAATTGGTCTCCCCAGAAGCCGTACTGCCCCCCTTCAATCTGCCATAAATGCTGCTGCCATGCTGATCTTTATCTCATGTAGCTCCTTACACTGGCTTCCTGTAAAATACTAATCCTTACCTATAAAGCTCTAGCCCCCCTTATATTTCCTCACTGATTCATAGGTATGCCCCCTCTCTGTCTCTCTGCTCTACTGGTGACCTTCTCCTGTCTGCTGCTTGCACCCTTACTGCAAATTCATGCCTGCAAGTTTTTTCATGGGTTCCTTTTGAACAACCTGCCTACCGATGTCAGACTCTCCCCTAGTCTTCGATCCTTTAAGAAGTCCCTCAAAGCCCATCATGCTTATGGCCTCCAGGAGTAACTTCTATCTCTTAAACGTTCCTCTTGCTCTCTTCTAAAGGGCCACACTTCACTCTCATCTCCAGTTCTTCTTTCCTACCACGTCTATTTGCTGTCTCCCTCAATACCCTTTCTTTAGTGGTTTTATACCCCACCTCCTCTAGACTGTAAGCTCGTTTGACCAGGGTTCTCAACTACCTATTGCTTACATTTTGTTATTGTCTCATTTGGTAAATCCCCCTCTTATTGTAAAGCGCTGCGGAATAAGCTGGCGCGATCTAAATATCAATAATAATAAAAAAGGATAGATGTTAATATATTCAATCAAATAAACCCCTTTATAACATAAAACCAATATATTAAGCACACAAAAAACACTTCTGCTTAAAGGAAAGCGTGGTGAGCAAACATTAAATTCCACACTATTCACAAACTGGCTTAATCACTCAGAACCTATTCGGTCCTGTGCTCAGGAATACACCGGTCCGCTCAGCTGTCCTTACAGCACTAGATGCGGCTTACTCCTGATGATTTTGCCGGTTCCTTCTGTGTTACACCGCCTTGCGTCTCTCCATTTTGCCGGTTACTTCTGGCTTCCTCAGGACATAAAGGCCCTTCTCCAAGAAGGAGAAAGCAACATTAAGGGCGCAAATGGTAATGATGCGATTGCCTTCATTGGTGCGTTTGCCAATCCTTCAGTTACATATTGCCATATGACTGCAGGTTTTTTTTTTAGTCCATGTTCACAAATAATACAACAGTGGTGAATCACCACAAGTTAGCAGGGTGAATTAGTCATAATTCGTTCGTACTTGAGAACAGAAATATATAGTTTAATTGCACATACACATATATTGCACATCATTGTTTAACTTGATAAAAGAAAGTCTCCGCTTATGTTTATACAGTAACAAAAACGTACCCAGCTCAATAAAAATACCATTATAAATATCCATACATAATCTGTTTTAAAAATATTTAAAACATATTTACTTTGTAATTTACTAATAAAAGATCAGCAATTGCTTAAATGAAGATAGCATAATTTAATTTAAATATAGATGGAAATAAAATATTTTAATTTAAAAATCATTAGTCCGTTTGGGACCAAAGTATTCAATTCAAATATCCATTTCATTTCTGCCTGTCCCAGCTTTTGATTAAAATCACCTCCTCCCCATTACCTTTTAATCCTTAGAATACCTATAAAATCCACATTATAGTTATCCCTAAAGTGCAGTGATACTTGATTCTGTGCGCATTAACCTTGTGGTACGACATATATAGTTTAGCCCACATGGACATGTAAGCATGTATGCAACATTTCGAGAATTAAGTTATTCCATCTCTAATAGTATAAATATTAGCAGTAAATTCTCTAAAGCCTTTTTTTTCCCCCTTTGTATTTTGCGGTATAACTACCACATTAAAAAAAAAAAGAAAATTAACCCAAAAAGTTTTTTTTTTTTTTTTTTTTTTTTATTTTTTTTTATATTGTCCATAGGTTTCTCTAAAATATTATCTGTTAAATATTTTAATTTGGCTACCCCCTGTATTATCCTTGGTTTCCTTTAAGATCGGGTCACTTAGTAATAAATGCCAGTAATTATTATATTTCTTACTTTGTTGTTGTGACCTTCGGAGAATTGACAAGTAAAAGGAATTCCATTGCTACACTTCTATTTTATTTTTATAATCTAGTAACTTTGTTTGATCCATTGTTTGTATGTCTTTGGTAGCTGTAATTAAAATATTTTCACTCTAACCTCTATCTTTAAAATACGAAATCACTCTCCTACGTTTGTGTGCATACATTGATAAGCCGCCAAATTAAAACCACCTGCCCAAGAGCATGTAGGTCCCCCTTGTGCTGCCAAAACAGCCCTGATGCATAACGGCATGGTTCCACAAGACCTCTGAAATTGTCCTGTGCTATCTGGCACCAAGACATAAATAAAATTGTAACTTCTAAATGAAAGTACTGAGACATCAAGAGCACACCAAATCAAACTCATTAAGCTTAACTTGCTCTGGTTCTTACGATGTCATTTTTACCTATGTTGATCAAAACTGTTGGTTGTCCCTTAGTAAACAGAAATGGAGCCGAAGAAAGTTTAACAAACATACCAGGTACCTGTGATTTCAATGAAATTCACACTTGGTTTTTGATTACTTTATGTATATGATGGTTGGAATGGCTTTCTAACACTGCCATTGCAGGTGGACATAAAACCCACAAACAACTTTTAGTCTCACTGTGTTTCTGACTATATAAATGAAGAAAAAAATAAGCTTTTAGTTAATGGCTCTTTTAAAAGGCCTAATAATTTTATCATCTTGTATTGGTGTCTGCTGTTTGTTATACTGCACTGCTATTCTGTAAATTTATAATATTCTGTATAGTTTCCTTTTTTCTCTCTATGATTTAAGTTATGCCTTTAGATTATTATTTTTCACTTTCAATTTCTATATTTTCAGGTCTGTAACATTGTGGCTGGCCAGCGATGCATCAAGAAGCTGACTGACAATCAGACATCCACCATGATCAAGGCTACAGCCAGGTCTGCTCCAGACAGGCAGGAGGAGATCAGCCGGCTGGTGAGTGTTGCGTCTCAGTACCTTTTTATTTTAAATAATAGTTTATAAATTACCGGTACTTTATTCTTTTAATCAAATATAAATGCTTTGAGGTAGGATTTGATTTTAAATAGTGGTTTTAAATCACAAGTCAATGAGATTCAATTTAAACGATCTTCAAATCTTGGTTGTTATAATCTTTAGTATTTTCAATCAGCTAAAAAAAAATCATGCTTGGCATAAGAACCTTTTGGATTATATATCAGAACTGATTTTGTTCTAAACCATTATAAATACATAGATGCTGTTATTATTGCAAGGAGAACCATGTCCTTTTATATTTAGTGAACGACTTAAATTGTTTTATTTAGCTAAAACAATAGTTGTATTTCCTTTAACTTTAGTGTTCACTAAAGATATTACACAATATGTTGGGGGGATCTTGAGCTTAAATGGTTTGTCCTCTTATCTTGGTCCTAATTGGGAGCCAAGCCTTCTCTGGTTCTTGGTGATATGAATCTGGCTTCTGAATAGCTGCAGAAAACTGCCAATCTCACTCTCGGTGAATAACTTTTTATGCAAAGAATATGCATATTATGTGACCTTAGAAAGACTGGATCTCTGCCTCATATTGAAACACTGCACACAGACTCCAAGCACCATGGCCTCTTATCACTGAAGCCATTTGAGAGGGAAACAAATTCAGTGGCTGTTTAATATAAAGTTACTCCCTAATAGGAACTACTTTGAGCTGCTCCTTCACTGTCTCTGCTAATTCTCTTTTCAGGTTCGAAGTGCAAATTATGATGCTGATCCTTTTGTACAAGAGTTTCAGTTTCGAGTCCGAGATGAGATGGCCCACGTGACGGGGAGAGTACTTCCTGCCCCCATGTTACAGTATGGAGGAAGAGTATGTGAAATTTTGGTATTTTACCTTTTCTGCTACTAAAGAGATGCATCTTATTGTAATAACCATGATATTTTTGTTTTAAGAGTAACAAATGCAATGTAAATTAAATCTGTGTGGGAACCTTTATACGCAAATGTACCAAGAAGCTTCATTAAAATTAGTTTCTGCCAGCGTAGTGCATTTATCATGATATTGTCTATGAAATAAGGGCGTGCTGTGAACATGGGACCTATTAAAAAGGTTAGGGTTTATGCATATTGAAATGGTTGAGACTGGAATTGTTTGGCGTTTTTCTGAAACATTATACAATACCCTGGGGTTATGGAATTTTTATTCACCATGATTTTAGTGGGTCTTTACTATGGGGCTGGACATGGGGGAGAATTTGCTTTGATGCTAAGAGTTGGAGGTTTTGATTGGGTTAGTTGGCAAATGGCTTACTGCTAACCAAGGCAGTTTTTAGCTATATATATGAACTTCTCCTATCTAACTCCTCTCTGTTTAGTAGATTGGTAAACTGTGTTTCTATACATGCACAGTCGAGGTTTCAATTTTCATGGGGATTGTTACCTACAGATGTATACTTCTGGTGACCGTTGTGTGGAAATAGTTCTATTTGCCCAATGGGATGCACAGTACACTAGAGGGATACAATATTCCACTTTGTGATTTAGCTGTACATCTCCCATCTGGTCTCCAGGGATACCTTTGCTGCCCTTGATTTCTTTCTACCATCTATTGGCTTCTCATTACACACTATGCTTACTTATTTTCATTTAGTTAGTCTTGCCTATGCTAGTGTACACTCTAATGTGCATATATGACCTACATACATATTGCTTCAAGAAAGCTAGCCTTCTTTATACCCACCCATCCCTCAACTATACAGATAGTTAAATTGATCTAACATTTGGAACTCTGGAAAGTATATTGTAGTCAATATCTGAAGTGGTGCTATGTGGCAACTCATTTAATAAAGCCATTTCTTGACACCGTATAAATTTTCTTCCTCTCTTTATCTTTAATATACCCATCTCTATACTTTCAAAGAGAGGAATTTTAGTAATACTTGGTACATCTTGATTTTGTGTTACGTTACTCCTCATTTATTAAGAATTAGTGTTTTAGTTGCTGGATACTCTCTTATTGCTGTTTCAACATGATTTAATGTTTAGCTTATCTGTATATTAATTATTGCCAAACCCAAATCAGAGGGGGGGAATGGTCACGGAGGAACACTGTTATGTTTTTTTTTTTCTTCAGCTTAAATCCAAAATAGAATTCTCATTTTGAAAAGTTACATTTACTTTACTAGAGAATATGGCATGTTTATCTAATTTCATCATTGTTTTAAGGGTTGGTAAATCTAATTTGTTGCTAGCAGACAGTCATGTTTGATTAATTATAATGTTGTATTATTAGTTTGAGGTGTAGTGGCATTGCATGTGTTCTCTTGTGATTTGTAAGGCTTAAATTTCCTGTCACACAGTGGCAATAGTACAGTGGGTTCTGTGTTTCTTAGTGGGACAAGCAAATTGCAAAAAAAAAACAAAAATTTAAATGATCCCTCCTCCTTGACTTATAAATGCGGGCTCCCTCAGTATTTTCTTGTCCCAGCACTGGGACGGTCGAGTGGACTGCAAGAAGGCAGGTGATGCGCACAAGCTGATGTCTTGGGGGATACAGTCTTAATAGCTCTCCGGGTGGTGAGCTAAAAGACACTGCTCTGTTTGAGGTTACGGAAGTAACAACTTGAGCCGCATTTATGCTGTGGAGCTTCCCGGCGACTGGGGCGTTGATGGGCCATTTACCTATTGCGAGGCAGGCTTTGCGCTTGCCCACAGGGTTAGACTGCATGCCTGGGAGGACGTGCGTTTCACAGAGGTTTTGAATGTGCTACTGTGTATGAGCAGTTTGGAATCTCTGTTTTCGGTGTAAAATTTAAAGACCTATTTAAGCTGTGCGAGCCCTTATGTCCGCAGGGTACGTTTCAATTTTGGTCATACTGTGTCACCAGCCCCCCCACCCGGTCTTGGAGATCTTTGAGGTGAGATTAATTGTATCTCTACAGAGATTTCATGCAGAAGAGTGTTCCAAGCAGAAGGTTTCCAAGGAATAGCCACCATGGTTGGAGCTCTAGTGGCTAAAGCTCAAAACCTTTGACTTTAATCTTTGGAAAATGGTCTACTGCATGGTTCTAGTAAAGAGTTGCCTTACATTTTACATAATATCAGATTGGCCAATTGTCACGCCACCCTCCGGATCCGCTCCTGCCAGAGAGCGGTATGGGTCCTGGCGAGTGCGCATCGTTGCGGCGGCATTCCCACAAGTCAAGGGGAATGCCGCTGGATCCTTACCTGTCCTGCAGACGCCCGCCGGGGCCGCTCATGCCCGGGAGTGGACTGGGACACGGCGGGCACATCTGTCTCCATTACCATGTGGGAATGCCGCCAATCACTCACCTGAGCTCATCCACCCCACACAGCGGCTGGGTCTGCAATCATTAGAGACGCTGGCCGCTGCAGATTAGATGCTTTTAAGGGTTTGTAATTAACCCTTAGTGTTCCATTCCATTTTGAACGTGTGGGTGTGTCACACACCCACGTCCACGATCACATGCTTTCCTGCAGCCAATCAGGGAGCAATTTAGGCTATATATACTTTTTTTTTTTTTGTCCATCTCTCTGTGCCCTGTCGTGGTTTCCATTGTGGTTATCCAAGAGCACGTTTCTAGTATTGATTCTAGTGTATTTTACTGTGGCTTTCCTTCTGACTATTCGACTATCTTTGGCTTGGCTCCTGACTATTCTGACTTCTATATTCTGTGCCCTTGTTCATTGTTTCCATGGTTTCTGCGTTCTTGTCCATATCCTGTCTTGTGTTTTTTTTCTTTTATACGTTTAATTTGGCCATTCTAAGGCCCGGAAACCCGTCTTCAGGTTTTCTTTAATTTTTACTTAAGTTCTGCGTGTTGGGCATTAGCTATTCCTGACACCAATTAATTTTTTTTTTTTAGACATGTCTGTTGACATCTCAAAAGCTTTCAGCTCGTATTGTTGGTCTATCCTCTGTAGCAAGAAGAGTTCTGTGGCTGAGGTCATGGACGATGGACACTGCATCCAGAGCTGCTTTGTGTGAATTACCACTGGAAAGTAATGGGTTATTTGGGTCTCCATTGGAAGAAGTGATAACAGATGCCAGACACCAAAAAAGCTCTACCACAGGATAGTAGATACTCTTCTGGAAGTAGAAGAGGTCATTCAGATATCAGGATGGATTATTTAATACTTGCAAGCAACTTTGGGACAACAGGTTTAATGAAAATAATTCCAATAAACAAGACTAAAGGAAGAGATTCTGACACTGTAAAAATAGGAGGGAGACTCCCACGGCTTAACCAAGAATTGGAGAAAACTACTATAAATCCCTGGATCCAGAACCAGAACAAGATAAAGTTCACAGTAAAGCCAAAACAGAATCTCTCCTGACAGAGGCCATGTGATTTTAAAAAAAATAAATAAAAATGGGATCGAGAAAGTACAAAGAAAAGTAGAAGGCTAAAGAGTTTACTCAAGATTTTTGGTTCCTCAGCAAGAGCATTTGGTTCGTCCTGTGTTAGTATGGTTTCCATACAAAAATTTTCAGACAAAATGAACTTGTTAATGTTTTTTTTTTTTTTTTTAGACCAAACTGTGACTCATTCTCCTGAAAAGATACTTCATGATGACTTTAGACTTGAAAGACACATACTTCCATGTTCCTATGCCAATAGACACAAGAAGGTTTTTAAGATTTGCAATTTCCTCTGTAAAAAGTGTAGGATTTTCTTTTCAAAGCACTCCCTTTAAGGCTGGCTTCTGCCCTGAGGAGATTTATAAAGCATCTGGCTTCCTTAACAGCATCATTGAGAGAAAAAGACCTTGCCATAGTACCCTATTTAGACGGTTGGTTTCTCAAAGCAAAATCACATCATCTACAGGAGAATATTCAAATTACACGCTCTACTAAGGGATCATGGTTGGATTATCAACCAAGAAAAACATTTCAGCTTCAACCGTCATCAGTTATTCAGTTCCTGGGTTTTATCGTAGATTCAAGCACCTTAACTCATAATCTACCCCCTCTGAAGAGAAGGAAAATCCAAAAAGAAGTCTTGTTTCTTCAAAAGGAACTAACTTGCTCAATAAGGAAAGCTATGAGCTTTCTTTGCATTCTGACTCCATTAATCCCAGCTGTCAAGTGGGTAAAAGCAGCCACAAGATGCCTTCAATTGGAGATCCTTGAGCATTGGTCCAGAAGGAAAGAAGATTTAGACTTAATGTTCAGCCTTTCCACGCAAGCTCGAAAGCAGTTAACATGGTGGAAATAAAATCAAGATTCCTTTCTCTAAGTACCCTTTCCATCAGAGGGAAAGGATTGTCATTACAACGGACGCCTCAAATTTCGGATGGGAGGCTCACATTTATTCTCACTTCTGCCAAGGGGTTTGGTCACCGGAAGAAGCACGCCAGTCATCAAATTACAAAGAACTAAAAGCACTGTTCTACGCTGTTTGGGAGTGCGGGCCTTGGATTACAAGAAAGGTCATAAAGATGCAATTGGACCACATCACAGGGGTATCCTATTTGAATAAACAAGGGGCACCTGTTATGTGCAACCATTATGGATTAGGCACCAGAAGAGTTAGTCTTTCGGCACTTATATAAAAGGGTCCGAGAATATTATTGTGGACGACCTCAGCAGGGCTCATTGGTCACAAACTGAGTGGGCTTTTTAAGTCTCATAGGAAGTTTTTGTACACCAGAAGTGGATCTCATGGTAAGACAATAGAAGTGTCAGTCTTCGCTTCCCAGTTGCGACAAGACGACCCTCAATTCCTGGCTGGGATTATTAATTCCATGAGTCCTTCAGAAAATCAGAGCAGACAAGGCAAGATTAATAGCGATCATTCCTTATTGGTCAAACAGGGCTTGGTTCTCAAATGAATGGCCTTGACCTACATGGAGCTGAAAGTGTTAACACAACTTCTGGAAAAAAAT